AGGGTTACTTTGTTTTGCAGCACTAAAACCTAGAATTAGGAAACAAATGTGGGTCTGGAGATGTCAAGCCTGTCCTCAGGGAACTTTCCTACTATTTGGGAAGACAGAGGAGTATGTTGGCCCAGTGATGAAAGATGAGCTAAGCTAAGCTACAAGGTGAGCTAAGCCCCTGAGAGCTGTCAGAGCACTGAGGACAAGGCAGAGGGGCTCAGTCCCAAGGGATACAAGGTTTGCCTTGCAGAGGGACAGCACCTGCGCAAGAGGGCAGCCTTTGCAGAACAGAGCGAGTGAGGACACACAACTTACAGGACCAAGTAGTTCAGTACAAGAAGCAAGTCGTTTCAAGGCCGGGAGCCAGAGGGTCAGAGCACAGGGCTTCCTCCAGCCTTCCCTCATTGTAGTCCAAGATCAGCCACCTTGCTGATGATTCGAGAAGCACCACTGTTAACTGGTCCAGTTGAGCACCAGAACTCCCTCTGACTAGAGCAGGCTTGCCACTCCGATTTGGACCTCAGAGTGAAAGTGTTCTGTTCATTGTCATTACTGCACAGGGAGAGTCTCTCCTGGTAACAATTCTATTCAGTTTTCATCACCTGAAAGAGAAGATTAAAAGGATTAATAAGCCCTGAACAAAGGTTAACAGTAACAGTATTTTAAAATGGCAATGAAATCAGCCAGTAATGGTTAATTCCACAGTCAAATAATAGCACAATGTGACAATTTATTTAAATAATACTTCCTTAACATCATCTAAGCTTCTCATGCCACAGTTGCCTATTTCTTCTAGTTTCAACAATTAAAATGTGACACTGGAATTTGAAATTGCTAAGTGCATGATAGAGACTTGACATGTCCCTGCTAAAATTTGTGTACTTTTGGGGCTCCTGGGTAGCTTGGTCAGTTAAGCACCTGAATTCGGCTCAGGTCATAATCTCATGGTTCATGGGTTCAGGCCCTGTGTCAGGCTCTGTGCTGACAGCTCAAAGCCAGGAGCATGCTTCAGATTCTGTGTCTCCCTTTCTCCCTGCCCTTCCCCCACTTGTGCACTCGCTTTCTCTCAAAAATAAACATTAAAAATTTAAATATAAAAAAATTTAAATATAAAACTTGTGAACTTTTACTTTAGTATTTTTATACAAAGGTATTTTATTATAACCCAGGATATCCTAGTGAGAGATGGGGGAGAAAGCCGTATTAGTGCCATGTAATATAAATTTGAAACCTCGATGTGACTCATGATTTGCAAAAGCTGGATAAAGAAATATTAAATCTGAAGAACTTGGGTAAAGAAAAGAACATTATGATTTATAAATTATCTCAGTGAAGTCTAAGTACAGTGTCTAGGTCAAAGCATCTAAAAACATGCATTCCCATAAATATAAATTATATAAATTACAAAGCTTCAAGCTATGTATCATATATCTTGAAATTCTGTTCATAGCTGAAGTAAATAATCAATTTTTTTCTGCATTTTGAAAGATTGTAGATCTGAGAGAACAGTGTTATTTGGAGAAAATGGGAAGATTCGTTACCACCATTCCAAAGAAAGCAGCTGTTCTCATAATTGGTATGTATCCAAGGTAGGATGATTCTTGGGTTTCCGCCCCCCAATATCAGGCCACTTCAGGGGCTATGTTTTGTGAATTTTGTCTAGTATTTCAATTTCTTAATCTGCTTAACATAAAAGTCTATATGTTTCATCTGATATTTTCTGATTAGCAAACATTTGCTGGCTGGTATTTCTGTTATCCACCGATACAAATCATCAGCACAAGTAGTATTAAGACTGGAGCTTATCTGAATTGATGTTTTCAAATATCCAATGTTGAAAGCATCTGCTAGTGAGATTGTTACGGGAATTTAGTGATGAATCCTTTCCTACTTATTTCTGTAATAATGGTGATATTTTATTTCCCAGAAGATGGGAAATAGCTGGAGATGAATATGCTTCACTGTCTTTAAATTTTTTCTACATAGTCTGTCCCCTCTAAAGATATCTTTAAGCTTTAGAAATAAGTTTTGCAAGTATTTCACTTCAAGTGTTCTGAATTTTAAAAATTGTATGAGCATTTAAAGATATGCAAAGGTAGATCATAGTTCTGTGAGTTTATAATCTGGTAAGAAGAAAGAGCTGGATAAAAAACTATACTGTAAAACAAGACCAATAAGCTTTATAATCCACACTACCCAGGCGTAGGGTGGTATTTTGGAAAATAGAAAGACTAATTCGCATTGCAGTGGTTTGTGAGGCATGTGTGTGTTTATACCGTGGTTGGGAGACATGGAGGTAGGAATGTTTTAGTGAAGGGGATAGTATTGAAACTACGCATTGAAGGATAGTTATAATTTTATAGCTCATGAAGTTGTTTATAGCTCTAGTGTCTAAGAGATTTCAACATATCATGCCACGTAGAGGGGATAATGTGTAAGAAATGTCAGGGAGGTAGAGAATATCATGGTTGTTTGGACAGTGTGAGTCACAGGACAGCTGGACAGTAATGTTAGCATAAATAAGAACTGGTATAACAGTGGACAATGAAGATAAAAAGGCTGGTTAGCTCTTAGTTATAGAGGGTCTTAAATTCCATGAGGAGAAGATTAGATTTTTTTGCTGTAAGCAATGGGAAACTAAAATGGTGGCAAGATTATAATTTATAAAATGGATGTATAATGACCTGTAGATATTTGTTGTAAATATAGAAAGGAAATAATGTGGCTTAATTTCAGCCAATATTTAAAAGGCTTAAAAGTCTAAGTTGGGGAGCACCTGGGTGGCTCAGTTGGTTTAGTGTCTGAATCTTGATTTCAGTTCAGATCATAATCCCAGGGTCATGAGACCAGGCCCTGCATTGGGCTCTGTACTGAGAATGGAGGCTGCTTATGATTCTCCCTCTCTCCCCCCTTTCCCCAGGTTGTATGCACACTGTATCTCTAAAATAAAATTTTAAAAAGTCCAAGTTGACTTTCTGTGTGTCAACCTAGTAATGTAATACCAATAAAGGCTTTGCCATTTTTGCTTAAACTTTGAGGAAAATAGCATCTAGAATAAGAGTGAGAGTCCTATTTTATTAAAGTCCTGGGCAGGGGCATTGGGAGGGGTCTCCAGGTACAATCTTTAGAAAGAGGCATTGATAAGCTAGAAATTATCTGAAGGACAATGGCTAACATGGAAAGACATTTGGAATGATATCTTGGGAGATATGGTAGAAGGAACCAGGAATGGTTTTGATGCAAAGAAGACTTGAGAGGAGGAAAGAACTGTCTTGTCTGAGGATCTACTACAGAAGCAGAATTGGACTTGCTCCAGTGAAGTGCAGAGCTGAGAATGAGGAGCTGGAAGGTTAGGAGAAAGCAGATTTCAATCCAATATAAGGTAGTTTCTTTTTTTTTTTTTTTTTTTTGATTTATATTATTCATTTGGGGGAGGGAGGGGCGGAGAGAGAGAAGGAGAGAGAGAATCCCAAGCAGGTTCTGCACTGTTAGCATGCAGTATGATGTGGGGCTCAGTCCCACAAACCACGAAATCATGGCCTGAGCCAATATCAAGAGTCAGACGCTTAACTGACTGAGCTACTCAGGCACCCTGCAATAGAAGGTAGTTTCTAATGGCCTTCCTCAGGGGTAATGAATTTCCTTTATAAGTAGATATTTGAGAAAAGCATGGATGGTTATCAGTGAAGTTGTAGAAAGCATGTGTACATTGGGCTAAGAGACATGCAGATGACAGCCAATTTACCCTCAAGGAAAGAGAACCTGTGATTCAACTTAGACAATGAAGTATTGAAGAGATTTCTGCAGGAAAGACTTTCAAGGCAAAAACGGTTGTTATCAGTGTTAGATATTGCAGAAGGCAAAATGAGGTGAGATAAAATGCCATTGGATATGGCAGCTAATTGAGTAGAATTGTAGGATCAGGAGCTATATTCATAACTGGCTGAGTGGTTGTTAAAGACTTGGTATCTTTCCTTCATCAAATAGTCAAAACATTTTTATCAAAGCTTTAAGATGTGCCAAGCACTGTTTCAGGTGCTAGAAATAAAGCAGTGAATGAAACAGACAGAAATGCTTCCTTTGGAGACGAGTTGGAAAGTGGAGAACAGGGGTAATATGAATAGCATTATAAATAATAGTAGGAGGTGGTAAGCGCTATGCAGAAAATCATAGCAAGAAGGTGGGATGGTTGTGCAATATTAGAGAAGTTGCTCGGGAAAAGCCTAATTATAAGGATGATATTTGAACAAAGACTTGAATAAGATGTGGGAGGGAATCATATGGTCATCTTGGGAAGGAACATTCTTTGCAGAAGGAATGGCATATGTGAGGCAGGAAAAATTTTGGTATATCTGGGGAACAGTAGAATCAAAGCACTAGAGCTAAGTGATGGGTGGAAATGGTCATGGTTAGCGTGGTCAGACTTAGAAGACATAAGAAGGACTTTTTTGAATTTTACTACAAGATGTATTGTCATTGGAGGACTTAGAGCAGACAAGGAACATGATCTGACACACTTAAAAAGGATCACTTTGGTTGTTTCATTGAAAATAGACCATAGGGGCACCTGCATGGCTCGGTCAGTTGAGCGTCCAACTCTTGATTTCAGCTCAGGGCATGATCTCATGGTTCATGAGTTCAAATCCTGCATTGGGTTCTGCAATAGCCCTACAGATTCTGCTTGGAATTCTCTCCCTGTCTCTCTGCCTCTCCCCTGCTTGTGCACGCATGCTCTCTAAATAAATAAATAAACTTAAAAAAAAAAGAAAAGAAAATAGACTCTGGAAGGGAAAGACCAAGAGCTGAGCCCTGTTAGTGTCATTGGTATCGACACCAATAATCCAGGTAAGTATGATGGCTTGGGACCAGGTTTGCAATAGTAGAGGAGGTGAAAAGTGATAGAACCACAGGATTTGATAGTGAGTTGAAAATGTGGGTTGTAAGAGAGAGAGAGAGAGCCTTATAATTAACATGAGGGTTTTTGACCTGTAGGAGGCATGGGAGTGAGGGTTTGCTGCCCTTGTTTCAGATGAGGAGACAGTTAACAGTGAAGGGAAAGAGGAAGACAGGACAGTGGCTTTTGGATAGTAGGACAGGTTTCAAGAGAAGCAGGGTTTTTTTTGTTGTTGTTGTTGTTGTGTTGGGGTGGGTGGGTTAGGCTTAACTGTGCTTATGAGCAGAAGAAAGAGTAAGATGAGTCAAGAGAAATGTATAAATACATGAAGGATGTTTCATGAGAACACAACAGTTAAAGAAGATTTAGCTTTGGAAAAAAGAATAATCACTTTCCTGAGAAAGCAACAACAACAAAATTCAGGTTACCTATAGGAAGGTTAAATGAATTTACACTAGATGTCTTCTTAGTAATTGTAAGGTTTTAGCTGCTTCAAGTTTAGAGGATGAAGTTGAGATTAAATAGTTAAGATACTTAATACCATGTAAGGACTAAAATGAATCAACCAGAGATTAATGGGAAGACTTTCAGCAACTTTACAACTCAGTATTAGCATGAATTGATACTGTAGTTCAGCAAATCTAAAACAAACTGGTTGTAAAATTGTTATTTTATGTACTCAACAAAGAAATAAAAAATACCCCAGATCAGGAGATTTCAAATAAAGATGGGACACCAAAAGCTGTATGTTCAGTGTAAGGCTAAACCAGGCACACGCCCACCCACGTGGAAAGCTACATGCCCCTACCTTGACACTGGTGTAGAGAGGGGTAAAAATCTTCTCTGTGATTTTGAATCACAAGCTAATACTTATGCAGGTATGTAGTCTAAAATTCCCACCACCTGTATAGTCTGAAACACCTGAAAATAACGTAAGTAGCATGCAGTTGATAGTGCACCTGGGTGACTGGCCAGAGATCATTCCTCTCTGCAAGAACTGTGTCCATCTAAGTCTAAAAGAATTAATTGTAAGACTATACTGTAAGAACCTTCTGATTCTGGAATGTTCCAATGTGGAGGAAAAAACATGTGCCTTAGAAATGTAATGCGATACGGAATCAATCTGCATCTTAGTGATTTCTCCATTATGCTAAGCAGCCTTGAGAATGGTAGAAGGATTAATTAAAGATGGAGTTAATTAACTAATGTTAAGATAGAAACAAATAATGTGAAGAAGGAGCAAGGAGTTACACAGTTCCTCCAAGCCTATCTTTATTCTGCTGGGTGGTACCTAGATTCTGAGACCTGGCAGATAAAGGACACTCAGGTCATCTCTCCCCTTCCATGCCTGTGGGAGACATTGCATTTCTAAGAGCCTAGAACAGTGCCTGGCATATAATAATGCTCAATAAACATTTGAATAGGTAAATCAAGGCTTAATTTTGGTAATCCTCTCTCACTTAGCTTGATTAGACCTCAGAATCCTTTGCAACACAATAGTCACTAACAACAAACCAGGTTGGCATATGATTTGAAATCTGTCTTCTATCACTGAGGTAGGGATTTTGAGGTAGACAATAATTTGATGAACAGGAGAAAGTACTTGCCTTTGAAGCCATGAAGCCCAACCTATATTTCCTATTACGTGTGAGGTGTGATGAGTCTTTTAATATCATGACAGTTTTCTTATTTGGAATAAGGGGAATAATTTCTACCTGCCCACTTCAGAGGGTCATAAAGAGCCTCAATAAGGATGATAGATGTGGAGTGCTTTTTCAATTGAAGTGCCTAAAAAAGTGAGCTTTGTAATATTTTAGACAGCTTATTGTTTTATAAATTGAAGTGCTTAAAGAGGGATTTTAATAATATTTAAGCAGCCTATTTTGACCTCGATGTTCAAGATGATGGACTTGAAAAAGTGAAGCAGGGAGTTTCTGGTTAAGAAGATATTTAGTAAGAATTGTTACATTTGGTTTTTGGAAACAGGGCATTAAAAAGCTGGATAACTCCTACAGTCCTGAACACTTATTACTTAGAGGGCAGTGATACTGTTAAGAGGTCTAAGGCTGTTGATGGAGTGCCTGGGTGGCTCAGTCAATTAAGTTGTCTGACTCTTGGTTTTGGCTCAGGTCATGATCTCATGGTTTTGTGGGTTCGAGCCCTGCATTGGGGTCTGTGCTGGCAGTGTGGAGCCTGCTTGGGATTCTCTCCCTCTCTCTCTCTCTCTGCCCTTCCCCCGCTCATGCTGTCTCTCTCTCTCTCTCTCAAAAATAAATAAACTTAAAACAATTATGTAAAAAAACCACAACAACAAAAAAGGTCTAAGTCTGTTGAGAAAGACTGCCAAGTTTTAGAAAGAGGTTTGTTCTGACACGTTAGATTCCAGGTAAGAGTGCTTTGCAGCCCAATGAATGTGAGGCACAAAAGATGCTAAGGATTTACGGTCTGCTGGGGTTTCTTTTCTTTAATAATATGAGTTCGTGTAGGAAAATAAAAGTAAAAGATTATGTGTTAAATTATGTAAGACTCCCTTCAAAATGTTTAGACATATTTCTAAAGATGTTAATAAAAGGTCACAGCTGACCTTACTGGGAGTTAGGAAGGTGACATTGCACCTGCAGGGACTGAGATCCAGGCTGACCTTGGAGGATGTGGCTGGTTAGAGTTAACATATGCAGCATGGTCAATCCATAATTCATGACCCATAATTTGACTTCTGGGTGAAAACTATGAATTTTCAATTAGGCTAATAAGTTAGAACAAAGAGGTGAATCTTAGGGTTTTCAATTTACAGATCAGAATCCTAGCATTTTATAACTGAATGAAATTTAAAGGGTGGTTTCCGGCCACTCTCTAATTAACGCCTCTATTTGTTGGATAAATGCCAGCAATTTGAGCCTATCCAAATTATTCTTACATAAGGAACTTCCATTGCCTATTATCTTCTAATAGTCTTTATGATTTTTGTTACTGGTAAGTTATGAGCTAAAGCCCATATATTAGATCTTATTTGTCACACTTGACTGTCCCATTTATTATACTTTCTCCACCTTCCCCTGTCTAGCTTATGTATGTGGAAAATAATGGTACCAGAAGATAAAATTATCCTGATAAAATTTGCAAGCTTAGACATACAAAATCAAGTTGGTTGTGACCATGGCTATATATCTTTACAATCAAGCAATGGAGTGCTTATTAGTACGTATGTTACATTTATTTTTTCTTGTCATGTTAGAGTATCTGAACAACTGAAGACGTGCAAAGGGACCTGAAGTTAGATATCTGCCATAGAACACTTTATATGCTGTCCCTTTCCTGAAGGGGCAGATGTGTGTGGTAAGAGAGGAACCAATGACTGGCATGTTGAGTGAGCTATTCCCTTCTCAGGTTGAGTAGCAGTTTTGAATGACATTGATCTCACAATTATCAGAAACTTCCTTTCAAGGCAACATCTATTTTGTTTTTTGGTTTTATCACAAAAGTGGGTGCCTGTTTGCCAAATTTGGTAAAGACAGGTAAATAACTGGAAGAAAATGTAAACCATTAAAAATCCTACCACCTAGAGATAAATGCTGTTAACATTTTGGGGTACTGTATATTCGTTTATACATAATAACTATACACACTGAACTTCACATTGTTTTATAATGTTCTTTTCTCCCATGACAATAGATCATTTCAGGTCATTTGTGGAATACCACTTATACACTAAGCATAATTGATAACTTTAATTGAAATATTATGTGTTAAGCATCTTGATAGAAGATCTCTAGAGCTGGTATAGACCTTGGTCTCTAGGTCTCCCTAGGCCAGTGATTAGGACAAATAGCTTGTTGCAAATCGACAGGGTGCTGTAGATAAGGTATTGTGCTAAGGGTTATAATATTCATTGACTAAATGATTTCACATTCAGGCCTGCAATTTACCTAGGAACCATTCTTTCAACCAATCATTTGTTAAAAAATCAACTATGTGCCAGATATCATATCAAGTCCTACACATATGTGGAGTAAAAACAGTCTCTGCTCTAATGCAATTGCAGTCTGATAAGGTATCTAAGCGTGTACCATAAAGTAGAAAATGACAGGTACAGGAGATGTGCTGTGGTGACTCAGAAAAGGTACCTCTTACTTCAGTGGGTATTTAGGACGGTTTATGAGAACTGGACTTTGAGTCAGGCCCTGAAGGATGAGTAGAATTTAGACATGTGAGATTGAGTTTGAAAAAGCACAGATACAGACAGTGTGGAAAAATTAAATTAACCAGTAAATAGTTTGGTGGGTTGAGAACACAGAGTTCCTGGGACATAGTGTTAGGAAAAAAAATTAACAAGTTTGTGACATTTTTAGTAATGCTATTTCAATTTCTTTTCCTTTTAAGGTAAGGTCTGTGGAGATAAATTGCCTTCACCATTGCTGACTGAGACCAGTGAAGCCACAGTTACATTTGTTTCTGATCCAGAAAACGGTGGCAGCAGCTTTGAGCTTACATTTACTGCTGTTCAGAAGCACTCAGAAGCTGGTATCTCAGATATTTAATTCCCTGATGTTTTTATCTGATATGGGGATAAGGAAGAGGGAATGCCTTTGGCCATTCACTTTGGATTTCCCTGACACTTCAACAGGTTCAGGCTGTGGGAGTGTAGCTGTATTGGTGGAAGAAGGGATGATTCACTCTGCCAGTTATCCTGACTCGTATCCCATGAATGTAAAGTGTCATTGGTTCATTCGTGCTCCGGAGAAACACATTATAAAGGTAAGCAGCTAAGGAAGATCTTTACTTCATTGAGAGCTTAGCTGTGTTGGTTAGGCAGAACTTGCTTCATCCTGGCCAAGAAACTGCCATTATAACTAGGAGCTTCAGTTTGCTGCCATATATAAATATGTCAACCTACATCTGGATCCATAAATGTGCTTTGAAAAGTTTGAGCAGTTTAAGAGAATACATCAAAAAGTAGGCCTCCTTCTCATCTAACACCCATCATACCTCCTAATGGCAAGTGAACACTAGAGTGTCCCTAGGGAGATCTTCTGAGCATTTAGAAACATGCATATATTTACATTGCTTAGCAATGCTTTTTCTCCTTAAAAATATCTCAAAGATCTTTCCAAATGAGTCCACAGGGCACTTTTCATTAACTGCATACATTATATTGTGTGATATTCCATAATTTCTTTCTTTTTAATTTTTTTAATGTTTGTTTATTTTTGAGAGAGACAGACCACAAGTGGGGAAGGAGCAGAGAGATAGGGAGACACAGAATTGGAAGCAGACTCCAGGCTCTGAGCTGTCAGCACAGAGCCCGACACGGGGCTTGAACTCACAAAGCATGAGATCGTGACCTGAGCTGAGGCCGGACACTCAACCAGCTGAGCCACCCAGGGGCCCCGATATTCCATAATTTAAGTCAGGTCCCAATAATATACACTTAGTGGGTTTCCAGTCTTTGCCCTTACCAGCAGTGCTAGTACATTCTTGTGTCCATGTATTTGGGCACATGTGGATGTATGTGATTCCCAGGAGTGGACTTTCTGTGTCAAAGGATTTGTGCATTTAAACCTCATAGTCATTGCCAAGTTGCTCTCCAAAGAGGCTGGAATTACTTACACTTCTATCAATAGAATAGGAGGGGTAACTGCCAGCCTTTTCATGTTCAGAGGGAAGCTTTTAAAGTTCATCTCTTCTCTTCCTTGACCATTTCTCTGGTTATGTTTCTAATTTGCACAGTTGGAATTTGAGGACTTTATCACTGAATTTAGCCCAAACTGTATTTATGATGCTGTTGTGATTTATGGTGATCCTGAAGAGGAGCATGAGTTAGGTGGGTAACATTCCATCTGTAAAGAACAAGAGTAGTTGTAACACTGACTGGCCTCCTTGGGTGACACAAAGTTGAATGAGAATAAGGATTTCTTCTTCTGGAAACTCACGTGTCAAAAAACTTTAGCTTTAACTGATGAGCCAACAATGGATTCACCAGAAGATTTAAAAAAATTTTTTTTAATGTTTATTCATTTTTGAGAAAGAGAAGGAGCATGAGACGGGGGAGGGGCAGAGAAAGAGGGAGACACAGAATCCCAAGCTGTCAGCTCAGAGCCTGACACCGGGCTCGAACGCACAAGGTCTGAGATCAGGTATGAGATCATGACCTGAGCCAAAGTTGGATGCTAAACCGACTGAGCTACCCAGATGCTGCCCCACCAGTAAGATTTTTTTTAATGTTTATTTATTTTTGAAAGAGAGAGAGAGAGAGAGAGAGAGAGAGAGAGAGAGAGAGACAGCATACAAGTGGGGGAAGGGCAGAGAGAGAAGGAGACACAGAATCCAAAGCAGGTTCCAGGCTCTGAGCTGTCAGCACAGAGCCCAACGTGGGGCTTGAACCCGCAAGATGTGAGATCATGACCTGAGCTGAAGTCAGACACTTAACCGACTGAACCACCCAGGCACCCCTCACCAGTAAGATTTTTAATAGAAACATGTAAAATTTGGAGAATGTTTCAGAATATTTGGAAGGTGAATGTGAAGTCCCAGGGAAAAAGGAAATAGTAACATTGAATACATTTTTGGCAGTTACTGAAGGTAATTTTTTAAACTCCTTTTTGTATTAAAAAGTAACTGAAAAGTATAGTAACCAAAAGTAACCAAAGTAACCAAAACTATAGTTTCTACTTGAATCTTAAAAGTTAATTTTTGGAACTAGAACTTCAAATATACTTTCCATTTTGACCTACCAATTTACTTAGTATAAGAAGTTATCTCTTCCAGCTGTGCAGCCACTCCCTTAATATACCTATTATTTGTCCCTTAGTTAGATGTCAGTGTGGGTCTGAGACCCAGGAATATAGGTGGGTTGGGAATGTTTGGATATTCAGGGCAGCTGAGTGGAGGCACAATCCCCCTCATCCAGCTGAATAGGATTTGTATAGAGTGGGCTTCAAGTGAAGCAGATTTCAGGTGTTACTTACATAAAGCATAGCCAACTTCCCTTTGAAAGGAGGATACAAAGTTTGGGATTTTCTTTAACTCGCCCCTTCGCACTGTGTACATTAAAAGTCAATTGACATTTCTATGCATGCTAAAAATCAGATGTCTTTTCTCTATCTGTAGAGTGTTTTTCTATGAGATAAAATTACAACACATAGTTATCTTGAAACTAGTATTTCACTCCCACATACAATGGAAAAGTGTGCCTACAAACCAAAGTTGAAGAAAACCAGAATTGCTGGGAAAAAATTAGATAATGTTTTACCTCTGTTTTCTGACTTAAAAAACTTTGTAACTGTAAATCAAACTTTCCTAAAACTTTTACAGCTAAACTTTGTGGGATCTTAAACCCTACTCCAATATTAAGTCCTCATAATATGCTGCTGATTCATTTTAAAAGTGATGGTGAAAATAACTTCCGAGGCTTCAAGGCTAGTTTCACCTTTTTGCTCTCAGGTGAGGATAAGCACTAGCGCAGTAATTATTTTTGCTTGTGAAAATAGTTATACAGAAGATCACTTAGGCATGTTTACCTGAATTTAGGGTGCTTGAAACACCTTGGTGACAAAATATAAATGCAGATTCCTGGGACTCCTGGGTGGCTCAGTTGGTTATGCATCTGACTCTTGATCTTAGCTCAGGTCTTGATCTCAGGGTCATGGGCATGGAGCCTACTTTAAAAAACATTTTTTTAAATGTTTATTTATATGAGAGAAAGAGAGTGGCAGAGTGTAAGCAGGAGAGGGTAAGAGAGAGAGGGAGACACAGAATCCAAAGGAGGCTCCAGGCTCTGAGCTATCAACACAGAGCCCAGCGCAGGGCTTGAACTCACAGACCGCGAGATCATGACCTGAACCAAAATCAGACGCTCAACCTACTGAGCCACCCAGGTGCCCCAAAACATGCAGATTTCTGGGGCATCTGGGTGGCTCAGTTGGTTGAGCATCTGACTTCAGCTCAGGTCATGATCTCACAGTTCATAGGTTCCAGCCCTGCATCGGGCTCTGTGCTGATAGCTCAGAGCCTGGAGCCTTCTTCAGGTTCTGTGTCTCCCTCTCTCTTTGCCCCACCCCTGCTCACTCTCTGTTTCTCTCTCGAAATTAAATAAACATTTAAAAAAATTTTAACTGCAGATTCCTGTGCCCACTCCTGAAGATTTAGGTTCTGTAGATCTGTGATGGGGCCCAGGAATCTGTGCTTTAACAAGAACCTCTGGTGAAGCTAAGAAACTACATCCACTCAATGATCAAAAAACACTTTAAGCACCTTATATCAAAAGTAGATAATTTAGATTAGAGAATGCAATTCAGAAATGAGATTGACTGTCTCTGTTTTGGGACATTTCAGGGTTCTGAAGGATTTATAGTTTTCTAGCCATTCTAGAAAATAAAGCAGCCTTTACTGAGATGGAAGGAATATCATTCCTTAAAGACCCTAGTGTGGAAAAGAATGGGTGATGTACAAAAAACTACAAATAATTTGGCAGTGTTCAAGTTTTGGAATGTTAGAAGAGGCAAGAGTCATATCATGATGGATTCAGGGCATTCAGTTTTAGGTACCAGAGTGATAGGATAGCCAGCTAACATTTGTTGATTACTTGCTCTGTACCAAGTATAGACTAAACATTTCACATGCATTACCACATTTATTCCTCCTTACAAACCTAAGAGGTTTATACAATGCTCTCCTTTTCACAGATGAAGGAAGAAAGTTCAGAGAGGTTAAGTAGCTTTCCCAAAGATGCATAACTGCCAAGAGGTGGAGCCAGAACTCAAACGTTGGTAGTAATGTGGAAGATAGAGACAAAGATTAGGCAGAGATTAGTGAATTTACAAGGAGAGTAGTGAATAAATCATTGTAAGAATTTATTTTAGGTATAGTCCTTGATCAAATATGTTGTGGCAAAGATGATATATAAAGTAGAAAAATTCCAGCATGATTCTGAGGACTCTAGCTTGAGTGGCTAGGTGGATGGTAGAGCCACTAAATGATACAGAGAAACATAAGACCGTGTTGACTCTTGAAATCAATTGGTTTCATTTGAGACAAGTGGATTTGTATGAGCTTGTGGGAGATCCAGATGAATATAGCTAGCATATTCTACATCTAGAATTCAGAAAAGGGACTTAAGGGAGAAATGTGGAAGTCATATATATGCAAATGAATAGTAATAGGGTTATGAACTGTACCTTGTGGAATATCTTGCAGGTTGGAGGATAGGATCTTGAAAAAAAGACAGATTGAGAAGAGATGGTCGTAGATTTTTTGAGAAAATCAAGAGAGTAATTTAATGGAGCCAAAGAAGGAAGAAATGCTTAAAAGGGTCAGATACACTAGGAATTTAAGAAAAATATAACCAATCACATCTATGGGATCTGGCATTTAGCACTGGAAAGATTGCAGTAGTGAAATCAACATTAGAGTGGTTTTATGATTGACCAGGATAAGCAAGCAGGGTCAGCTAGTGTACACGACTTTAAATATTTTCAATTAAAAAAATGTTTTCTCTGTAGACTCTTCAAACCAAGTTGGATCAACATCACCTCCCCAAACCAATCTTGTATCTTCTGCAAAACTTATTCCATATGGTGAGTTGATGGTCACGTAGTTACTACCTGTTTAATCTTTCTTCTTTGGAAAGCCTCATTTTACATTTATATAACTCTACAATGAAGAAGAATGAGTTTTACATTTAGGTCCATGAAACTTCCAGAATTTTGTTTGGGTTTGCATATACACATATAAATAGAGGGAAGAAGAAATAAGCTTTATGATTAGAAGAAAAGGGTGCAGAGAGTAATTCTTTGTCCTCATTTGCACCTGTGCAAACTTGATATTTAAAATATCTTCCTAGAATCCATATTTAATATATGATTATGCATTTTGAGGCAAAGGGAGAAAACAAAGTTTTTTGTTTTGTTTCATTTTAGCACACACTGGCAACTTTGAACTTACTTGTAATCTGAAGTATCTGGTCAGGGGCGCCTGGGTGGCGCAGTCGGTTGAGCGTCCGACTTCAGCCAGGTCACGATCTCACGGTCCGTGAGTTCGAGCCCCGCGTCGGGCTCTGGGCTGATGGCTCAGAGCCTGGAGCCTGTTTCCGATTCTGTGTCTCCCTCCCCTTCTGCCCCTCCCCCGTTCATGCTCTGTCTCTCTCTGTCCCAAAAATAAATAAAAACGTTGAGGAAAAAAAATTTGAAGTATCTGGTCAAAAATTATGATCTTTCATTGTTCTATATGCATGTATTCAATATGGCCTAGATGGGCTATAATAAGAAGTTGTACAGGGAGCTGTAATAGGAGAAAATGCCACGAGAGAGAGAAGAAACAAGGATATGTATGAAGAACTTTATATGCTCTGTTAACAACAACAACAACAACAACAACAAAAATAACCCATCCCAGTAGAATGTAAGTTCCATGACAGCCAAGACTTTTGTCTATTCTATTCACTGATAGATCAGCGACAGCTAAAACATCACTATCGAGAACATTGCCTGGCAGTACCAACCACTAAAATTATTTATTGAATGAATGAGTAAATATTACTCTGTAGGCCAGTAACCAAAAACCTAATTGCTTAGCAGAGTTACCAAGGCAAGCTTTTAAAATCAGATTCCTCAGAGGTGGATGTTAGGGAGTTGATATCTCTATAAAGCTCATCTGATATTTGGAAATTACTACCATCAGCTATTGGAGGAGGTGTATGTTCTTTCTTATTTCAGTTGGATAGGTCATTAATTTCATCCTCTCTGCTATAGGTATCTGTGGCATCCCTCCATTTAGTCTCCAGTGGCTTTCCAGAAGAACTGTAGTGGGGGAGGAAGCCTGTCCCCACTGTTGGCCGTGGCAGGTGGGTGTGAGGTTTCAAGGCAGTCACCAGTGTGGAGGTGCCATCCTCAACCCAACCTGGATTCTCACTGCAGCCCATTGTCTGCAATCGTGAGTGAAACTGATGATATTTTAATAACGTACTTAGCATGTATTTATGGCCATGCCTAGGGTAGAAGTATAATTATTGAATAAAGTCATCCAGGCTAATTCTAAAGCAGGAATCTTTCAACGACTTTCTATACAGCCGTTTCCTCTACTTAAACAATGTCAGTGAGGAAAATGTTGATCAAATCTTGAAATTGCTCATCTCTTTTATGGCAATCTCTGATTATTACGTTGAGCACACGTCTATTTCTCTTTAGCAGTAACCTATTGGTCTAAATTTACTGGAGCTCTCGAAAACAAAAACTTAGTCTGCTTCTTCTTTCACATAACAGTGTTCCCTATACTTGAAGATCTCTCTCACATTGCCCCTTAATTTCATCTTTAAGCTAGGGCTCATCATTCTGTTGTTTGTCAGTAATTCCAGATACCTTGCCATGTGGTACAACTTCCTCTGGATTGATTTAGTGTTGTTTTTCTTAAAATATGGTCCAAATAGTGGAGAGCACAGTAGGATAATCTACCACGTTGGTCACTGGACTACCAATGAACTAAAATTTTTCTTAACATTTTCAGGGTTTTTAAATTGTGAATTATGCCATGATATGAAAAACTGCACATGACACATATGTGGTCTAAAGAATAGTAAATGTACATATGTGTCCTTGCCACCCAGTTTAGGAAGACTCTTTACACTTCTTAAGACCCCCTAGGACCCCTGCCAAGAGGAAGACACTATGCTAAATTTTGTATTTATGATACTAATGTGTTTTTTTTTTTATTTTAACATCTGTGAATCCCTAAAACTAGTACATTGTTTGGTTTTTCTTGGTTTTGATAATGTAAAAGAATTGTAGTTTCTATTTTACTGTGAATTGCTCTTATCTTAATGGTATATAGATAAGCTAGGTGCCTTTGTATAACTGTAATTAATTCATTTTCCTTCCAAACTAAAGTCACTTGTTGGTGACTTCTAGACATGGGTAGTTTTGTGTTTTTTTTTATTTTTTATTTTTTATTTAAACTCCTCAGATGGGTGACTCAGTAGGTTGAGCATCTGACTCTTGATTTCAGCTCAGGTCATGATCTCATGGTTCATGGATTCAAGCCCTGCATCAGGCCCTGTGCTGACAGTGCAATAGCCTGCTTGGGATTCTCTCTCTCTCTCTCTCTCTCTCTCTCTCTCTCTCTCTCTCTTTCTGCCCCTCTCTCTGCTCATGCACTTTTTCTGTTTCTCTCAAAATAAATAAACTTAAAAAAAAAAACCCTCTCATGATTCCAATGTACAGCCATGATGAAGAACCACTTCCTATCTGTCTATCTGACCCAAACTTGACCCTGCTTGCTCATAATGGGCCAGCCCCGTTCCTCAAACATGCTGCATTTCCTCTGTCTCAAGGTGTTTGTGGTTGCAGTTCCCTTTGCCATTCAGGATACCACAGTACATTTAGTCGGCATGTCACGTAAGGCTACTCTTGGCTCTAAGTATCACAGACTTTCCTGGTTTTTGATGACCTTCCCAGTTTGGGGGAGTACTCATCTGTTATTTTGTAGAAGGTCCCTCAATTTGAATTTATCTGCTATTTCCTCATGGTTTTACTGGGATTATGGTTTTGGAAGAGGAAAACTACAGAAGTCATATGCCACTTGAGGCATTGGGTATTAAGCTTCACCTCCTGAGTGGAAAGTGTCTACATAAATTGTTTGAAATTTTTCTGTATGGGAGATATGTCTATTCTTCCTGATTTATTTGTTAAACAATGTATTTATATTGGTATGGATTCAGGGATATTTATTTGAAAATACTACAGGGGCACCTGGACGGCTTAGTTGGTTAAGCGTCCGACTTCAGCTCAGGTCATGATCTCTCCATTTGTGAGTGTGAGCCCCACATCGGGCTCTATGCTGAAAGCTTGGAGCCTGGTGCCTGCTTCAGATTCTGTGTCTTCCTCTCTCTCTACCCCTCCTCCCCTTCTCATGCTCTCTCTAAAAAAAAAAAAAATAACATTAAAATACTACATATCTATTTTGTTGCTCAAATTGTTCCAGCTTTGACCAGTGTCAGCTCTTTCAGGGTCACCTCTTATCTTTTTGACATGCCCCTATCCATTTGTGACGCTACAAAATGCTCCAGGTTTATCTGATGTATTCCCTCCTCAGTCCTAGAACCAGTCATTTCTCCAGTGAGCCCTGGTCTACTTTATTGGAGAATGGTATGAGAAATCAAGGTCTAAGTGGTACGTGTACTAGTTGCTACTAGGGTGTTATTGCACTAGGTCCTCTCAGCTGACAGAGCTAGGAAATATAGCTATGGTTACTAATCCATTCTGTAAATATAGCTATCTTTCTGTATCTATATTAAGCTAAACATGACTTCATGTGGATGTTTCCAACTCAGTCCAATACCATTCATTCTAGGCTTTCCTTCCCTTGGAAATGCCCATTTTAAGTAACTCTATCAGAATTCATTTTTATGTATCATGGAAAAGAAGCCTCAATAGTAGCTGATTAATTAGTAACAATTAATGTCTTAGAAAAGACAAATATTAGTATTGAAGCTCGAGGCACAGGCGACGTTTTGGCAGATTCCCTTGTCAACTAGTGTAGTCTGTTCTGGGAATTTATGTGATTAACCAGACACCTTGCAGCAAGATACAGACCATAGCAAGACCATTCTTCACAAAGGGGATATTCAAATTGTTGAGTCATTTGAGATTAATAAACACAGTCAGCTGTAAATGTTTGTGAACCACTAGAGTTGACCACAAAAGGAATTTGTATGCAATTTCATTGGTGATTTCTTGATTTCTTAAGAAAAAAAAAGGATTTTTATAATAGTAATGCTTGTGGATAAAGGCACTTAAAGAAAGTTATCAAGTAAAATCTAAATACTCTCTCCATTTCATGAATCCATTCCTCCTCTTTAGAAGTGATCAATACTAACAATGTTTTAATTATCTGATTTCCCACTAATATTTATTTTTTTAATCTGATTTTTTTTTTTTAATTTACATCCAAATTAGTTAGCATATAGTGCAACAATGATTTCAGGAGTAGATTCCTTAATGCCCCTTACCCATTTAGCCCATCCCCCACTCCGACACCCCCTCCAGTAACCCTCTGTTTGTTCTCCATATTTGAGTCTCTTATGCTTTTTCCCCCTCCCTGTTTTTATATTATTTTTGTTTCTCTTCCCTTATGTTCATCTGTTTTGTCTCCTAAAGTCCTTATATGAGTGAAGTCATATGATATTTGTCTTTCTCTAATTTCACTTAGCATAATACCCTCCAGTTCCGTCCATGTAGTTGCAAATGGCAAGATTTCATTCTTTCTGATTGTTGAGTAATACTCCATTGTATTTATATACCACCTCTTCTTTATCCATTCATCCATCGATGGACATTTGGGGTCTTTCCATACTTTCGATAGTGCTGCTATAAACATGTTGATATAAACATTTCGATAGTGCTGCTATAAAGTGTCGATAGTGCTGCTATAAACATGAGGGTGCATGTGTCTCTACGAAACAGCACACTTGTATCCCTTGGATAAATACCTAGTAGTGCAATTGCTGGGCCATAGGTAGTTATAGTTCTAATTTTTTGAGGAACCTCCATACTGTTTTCCAGAGTGGCTGCACCAGCTTGCATTCCCATGATTTCCCACTAATATTTAAGCACACGGTCTATTTTATAGTATTTGTATATACCATATATATTATTTTTTGCACAAAACATTGTGCCTTATGTTTATAATGATACGGAAAATGTCTGTGTGCCTCATTTTTTCTTTAACTCTTCATAGTTGCCTGACTTATTTCGCCAGAGAAATGTCTTTTTGAAGCTACTCCTTGGAGTATATGGCTCTTTACACCAGAAGTGTTTGATAGGTCAGAGTAACAAAATTGGTATGTTCCACTCATACTCTGCCTTTGTGGGAACTCTGCAGCGGATTCCTTCATGGACTTGTTTCTCCCGGATCATCTTCATTGACTTGGTAGACACCCAGGGTCCCATCCTCTGTTGAAGGGGGCTTCCACATATCCAAATCCATTGATAAGGGAAGTTTGCCATGGGCGATAAGCCAGCTGGGGAGATCTGCAAAGTGTGGGAGCTGAAGTAGACATCATTTTTGCTGAAGGGCACTAGGTGCCAGCCTATTTCACAGTGTTGGGTAGCACTCCAAAGACATTAAGGAAAACAGCAACGCTGGACCACCTCCCATGGCTTCGCTGGCACTGGTTGCTCTTAATATTAGTTTATTAGTTCTCAAACTTTAGCATAAACCAGAATCACCTGGAGAGTTGCTGAATCTATAAGTCTGGTGTGCGGCCTCAACATTTGTGTTTGTAAGAAATTCCCAGGTAATGTTCCACAGTTAGGGAAAACTGGTATTTTTCTTTTGCTGACTTCACACTGGTCTTTGTGCTCATTTGGGAGTTTTACTGTAGGGAACTAAATTCACTTTGCAATTCTACACTGGAATCTTTCAGTCTTAAAGAATAAATTTTTCTTAAAGACCTAAATTTTTTCAGCTTCAGCCACTTTTTTTTTTCTGTAATTCAGCAGTAATTATTTCTTCTCCCAAAGCAGTCGTGGCATATGTCCCATTGTTGGATTGGGGCTAAGACCCTAAGGGTATAAGAAATGAAATTTGATTGTGCGCAAGGGGGGAGATAGGACGGAGAAATCCATCAGTTGCTACTTAGAGCTATTATCCTACTGTTGGAAAAACTCAGACTCTGTTCCCTCATAACATGTATGTTGTTCTGTCATAACAATTTTTTTACACAGTGTTCTACCAAATTAAAGGAAATTTGATGACTGTGCACATAAAACTTCACTAGAAGTTGTGATCTACATTATCAACTATACCATGATTTTTATAATTTCATTCCTTTGTGCACGCTATCCTCTATCTAAAGAAGTAGAGTGGCTTTAGAAAATAAGTTTCTTTACTATCAAGTAATAATTTAGAGGGTGACTTTGAAAATAAAGTTTAATCCTTCAGTTAGAGTGCATGGCAGATAATAACACTGATAATGGCTACCATTATGGAGTCATTACCATCTGGAAGGTATTTGCCAAGCACTTTACCTGAGTAGGCTCCTTTAATAAGTCATATTGAAACACATGAATAAGTCAGACTCATCATGCAAGGAATTGAAATGAACATGGTTAAGACTAGACAGAAGATGCCCATGTATATGAAGAAACTTTTCCTTTGAATAAAGCGTATTGAAAAAATAATTTCAATAACCTTGCATTTCCTAAGTAAAAAAGTAAATTTTGGAAAATTAAAGAATCTCCAAGCTGAAGTGATAATATTTGTGACAATTGAGGGACTCTTTCCTCACATATTTCTTCAGCTGAAAATCTTGATGTGGCAGATTAATGGATATTGATTTAAACTTTTTTAAAACATCCTTTTGAAATATACCAAAAGGGTGCAAATGTCAAGTTTATAGTTAGAGCAATTTTCACAAAGTGAGCACCCACATGACTAGTACCCACATCATAAGACAAAATATTGCCAACACCCAGCAGCTCCCTATGTTTCTTCCAATCATCATCTCCCCAAAATAATCCCATAGGTGCCATAGGTGAGTTTTACCTGTTTTGTGAACTGATAAATTTTTTAACCTCTGTTCCATTAATTCTGGTGATTTGCTAAAAGAAAACAATTTGAGATATATTCCTGTAGGATAATGTTTGGCTACTTTTAACAGTAAAACATAGGCCAGAAGCTATCTCATTATGTATTCTTAATATCACTGTGAAATGAAAGTAAGCTATAGTTTTTCTTTTTAACTTTCCAACTTAAAAATAGTGTTTGGTGATATTTGGTAGGGGCTCCAAGGTCATTTTATTGCCAAAATAAAGGGGCGGGATGCATCATTAAGAACTCTACAGGTAGATCAGGAGGTGTGGTGTACCTTCCCAGGCAGGAGATCACACAAAGGCACCAGACAGGGGAATAGTGGCATTTGGCTGAGCTAAACACAGTGCGTGTTGGTAGAGCCCCATGGGGTTAGATCAAACGGTAAAAAAATGACTCCTCATGTCAAACTTTTCTTGTTCTTTCTCCAGGAAAAATAATCCACTCTTCTGGACTATTGTTGCTGGGGACCATGACAGAACCCTGAAGGAATCAACTGAGCAGGTGAGAAATGTTTTGAAGGGTCATTCTGCCTCTAACCTAAGTGTTATCACATGCTGGGGAATACCTTTAGCTAAAATATGTAATTAGGTACCCATCTCCTAGTGTCCCTATACAGTTACCGGATGTATCAACATTTAAAGATACGATCTGTGGAGCCCCTGGGTGGCTCAGTTGGTTAAGCCTCCAACTTCAGTTCAGGTCATGATCTCACGGTTTGTGAGTTGGAGTTCCGTGTCGGGCTCTGTGCTGACAGCTCAGAGCCTGGAGCCCACTTTGGATTCTGTGTCTTCCTTTCCCTCTGCTCCTCCCCTGCTCATGCTCTCTCTCTCCTTCAAAAATAAATGTTCAAAAAATTTTTTTTCAATAAAAAACATAAAGATATAATCTGAGCTCACGATTACATCAGAGAATTAAGTGAGGCAGGTCAGGAAATGTAAATTCAAGTCTGTGTACACAGGTCCACATAGCCTGCTTTCTCCAGGACTGTCCTCAGAAAGTTCATGGCCTCCTGCAAATTACAAACACAGATTGCCCTTTTCAATTCAGTACAGAGCCACCTTCATTGCTGATGCATGGCAATACAGAGATTGAAGGTTTATTTTGGACTATTATGCAAAGAAGTAGTTTGACTCATTGACTTTATCTTGTAATTCGCTTGCTCACCACTGATACAGGTGAGAAGGGCCAAGCACGTTGTGGTGCATGAAGACTTTGATAGCCGGAGCTTTGACTCTGACATCGCCCTAATACAACTGAGCTCTCCTCTGGCGTTCAACTCCGTCGTGAGGCCGGCGTGTCTCCCAGAAAGCACGGAGCCACTCTTTTCCTCTGAGATCTGTGCTGTGACTGGATGGGGAAGCATTAGTGAAGGTGAACATTTTACTTTTGCATAAAAATTATTGCCAGTTGCTAATTTAAAAAACTTGGTATGGAAATGATGTCAAGCAATACCTGCTTTAGCCTTTCTTCTCTCTGAAAGATAGAACCCATGTTTTATTTAGTCATAGGTGATTAGAGAATGAACTGTTTTATAGTTTTCCGTCAGGGTGACTTATAGGGACGTTAGATCTGTAAAGAGCCAAATAATATGTTTCTTTGTCTTTGCAAGCCATATGTTCCATGTCCCAGTTATCCAACTCTGCCATTGTAGTGCAAAGCAGCCATAGACATACACATCTAACAGAATGGATGTGGTCGTGTTCCAGTAGAAGTTTATTTATGAAATTTAAATAAAAAATTTTTAATGTTTATTTGTTTTTGAAGGAGAGAGACAGAGTGTGAGCAGGGAGAGGCAGAGAGAGAGGGAGACCCAGAATCTGAAGCAGGCTCCAGGCTCTGAGCTGTCAGCACAGAGCCTGATGCGGGGCTTGAACCCACAAACCGCAAGATCATGACCTGAGCTGAAGTCAGATGCTCAACCGGCTGAGCCACCCAGGCGCCCCTGAAATTTAAATTTCATATAATACTCATGTGTCATGAAATATTACTCTGGGGCTTTTTAGAAGCCATTTCAAAGTGTATACATCATTACGAAGAGGTCTGGGTATGGGGCTGGCACAGAACTGGTCTGCTGGCTGTGGTTTGCTGACTGCTGGTCTAGATCATAGAGTTCTTAAAGCCACAGCAAAATACTGGCAGATCTGAACGTGTTGATGTTCGCATTTTGCCTCTTTCCACTGTAGAAGATGGTTTCCTTGTACATTTTCCTTGTGTTTGTGTGTCATTTATTTGGGATCTGCTTGTCTGTGAGCATAGCTTTACTGTGCCACCTGCAGCCACTCTGCATGTTCCTCAAACCTGCCCAACCACCAGATGAGGAGGTTTTATCCTGCCCGTGTTGTAAATGAGGATATTATAGCTCAAGAGATTTAAGTCACTTGCTAAGATCCCATAACTAGTACTTATCAAAGCTAGGATTTAAAATCAGCGTGGTTCTCCTCTTGCACTGTTGGTGGGAATGCAAATTGGTGCAGCCGCTCTGGAAAGCAGTGTGGAGGTTCCTCAAAAAATTAAAAATAGACCTACCCTATGACCCAGCAGTAGCACTGCTAGGAATTTACCCAAGGGATACAGGAGTACTGATGCATAGGGGCACTTGTACCCCAATGTTCATAGCAGCACTCTCAACAATAGCCAAATTATGGAAAGAGCCTAAATGTCCATCAACTTATGAATGGATAAAGAAATTGTGGTTTATATACACAATGGAGTACTACATGGCAATGAGAAAGAACGAAATATGGCCCTTTGTAGCAACGTGGATGGAACTGGAGAGTGTGATGCTAAGTGAAATAAGCCATACAGAGAAAGGCAGATACCATATGTTTTCACTCTTATGTGGATCCTGAGAAATTTTACAGAAACCCATGGGGGAGGAGAAGGAAAAAAAAAAAAAAAGGTTAGAGTGGGAGAGAGCCAAAGCATAAGGGACTCTTCAAAACTGAGAACAAACTGAGGGTTGATGGGGGGTGGGAGGGAGGAGAGGGTGGGTGATGGGTATTGAGGAGGGCACCTGTTGGGATGAGCACTGGGTGTTGTATGGAAACCAATCTGACAATAAATTTCATATATTGAAAAAAAAAGCAAAAAAAATAAAATAAAAATCAGCGTGGTTCAGCTGATACTCTTTGGTGCTTTTTCTTTTTTCTTTTCTTTTTCTTTTTTTTTTTTTTTTTACATTTAGAATAAAGTCTGAACTGCTAGCCTGACTTGGAAAACTCTGTGATTTGGCCTCCACTTACCTCTCCAACTTCCTTTCCTCCCTGTGTCCGCTTCAGGCATTGTGGCCTTCTTTCTTCCTCTTCAACACAAGACCTGTTCTGCTTTCTGAAGCTTGGAACACTCTTGCTTCAGTCTTCTCCCAGGTGCCTCCTCATCGTTCTGCTCGCAGCTCAGAACGGCACACCCTCCTCCGATCACTTTGCTGCCTCAGGACTGCCCTTCCGTCACATTTGCACCACCCAGTTTTATCATTTCATCACACACGATTGTGCTTTGACGTTAGTGTATGTAATCATTCTCCACATCTCATCCGTTAGAGTGGAAGCCTCGTGGTGGCAGGTGCCTAATTCTGCACTCTCCTCCAGGGCTACTGATGCACCTAGCATAGAGTAAATGCTGACACCTTCAACCGTCACCACCTCCGTGACCACCAGACAAGTGAAAGGCACTTACTTACAGTCTTATGAAAGGCGAATTCATTCTTTCAATCTGAGAGAAAATGAGTTCTTAATTTTAAGAAATGGTAAAGACCAGTGGCAGGAATGGTCCCTAAAAAGAGGATTTCAAAAATCATTAAATTTATTTATGTATTAGATTGATACATTAAAAAGCACGAGCTTTAGAGTCCAACCTAGGCTTAAGTGCTAGTTTTGCCCCACATGTGCTGTGAGATCATATTTTCAAAACTCTTGTGTTTTTTTTCATGTGTGAGGTCAACGTGATCATATATGTGAACAACCCACCTCACAATGCTGTATTATTGGGTTGGAGTAATATTAAGGTACTGTACAAATATAAGGTACTTGCTAATACTAAGCTTTTTTAAAATTAGCCATGAATCCAAAGTGATAGAATAAGTCATGCAGAATTCATGTTAATACAGTTCTGTCTGAGGGTCAGTTATGAGAAGTATTGTAGTGTTCATTGTTAGCCTTATAGCCTTCATTTTAGTCCTTTATAAAATTTTTTTAATGTTTATTTTTGAGAGAGAGACAGATACAGAGCATGAGCAGGGGAGGAACAGAGAAAGAGAGAGAGAGAGACAGAATCCAAAGCAGCCTCCAGGCTCTGAGCTGTCAGCACAGAGCGCGACGCAGGACTCAAACCCACGAACTGTGATATCATGACCTGAGTTGAAGTTGGATGCTTAACCGACTGAATCACGCAAGCACCACCATTTTTAGTCCTTTCAAATTGGAGTTGAGATTAGTCTCAGTGACAATAGAGGAAAAGGGGATATGATTTTGGTTTATATTAGGAAGTCTTATAAATATGTTCTCACATTTATAATATATTTTTATCTGTAAATATACCATTTAAAATATATAATCATATACATCCTATACAACACCAATTCATATCTTGCTGAATTTTTCTTTCTGAATTTTTGTGTAACAATGTTTGAAACACTAACTTTTAAATCAAAAATAAACTAGAAAAAAATGCTTCTGGTTTTGTTCTTTTGATAATGTATTCCTTTACCAAAATGCCACATTTGGGAAATAAAGACACCCTATGTGAGACACATTTTTTTATTAACATCAGCTCAGGCCAAACTGAGTGATTGCAGTTACATTACTGCAAAGGAAGTCTGAAATTAAATATGTCTTTTTAACATAATGTGTTGTTTACTTCATTAAGAAGCTGTATTTCTGAATCTGTTTCTTAAGCAGGTGGCGGCCTCGCAAGGCGCTTGCGGCAGATTCAGGTGCTTGTGTTAGAAAGAGAGGTCTGTGAACACGCTTACCGCTCTCACCCAGGAGGGATCACAGAGAGGATGATCTGTGCTGGCTTTGCAACCTCTGGAGGGAAGGATTTCTGTCAGGTGAGATGACTCTGATTTTGCAAAGGAAGATCCAGGGTCATCTGATGGAGACTCTTCTTAGGAGACATGCTCAGAACCACAGGTAACCATTACAGCCTGTGCCTGATAGCATCACACTACACCCTTCCAGGAACGCCAGTAGGACAATGGGAAGAGGGAGTTCCTGACTCCACACTTGCTGAGATGGAGAGAGGGCCAGAAAGCAGGTGGGGACCGAGGAGCCCATGAGAACACAGGGGACAGCAGCACTGCTAACTGGCCTGCAAGAAGGAAGGTGTGCTCAGAGAGATGTAAGGCTGTGGGAAAAGAGGAACAAGCAGAGAAGGATTCTAAGTCAGTGTATCCTACTTATGAGTTAAGGTTTTTAGCTTTTTAATTTATTTTTTAAACCTTTTTTTTCTTCAATGTTTTTATTTATTTTGGAGAGGGAGAGAGGGAGAGCATGCACAGGGGAGAGGCAGAAGGAGGGGGACAGGAGATCAAGCGGGCTTCTAGTGCTGTCAGCACAGAGCCTGATGTGGAGCTCAAACTCATGAATCCTGAGATGATGATCTGAGCCAAAGTTGGATGCTTAACCAACTGAGCCACCCAGGTGCCCTGTTTTTTTACTGTTTTGAATTAATATTAATATCTCCTATGTACTCACTCTTAATTTTCAGATTAAAATAAAATAATCGTGAAGAAAATGAGAAACTTTGAAAAAGTGTTATTCATACGTAGTGGAACACAAATCACAAAACAATAGTTTAATTTCAGTGATATTTAGAGGCAAAAGCAGTGCAGGTATATATTAACATGTCAGTTGCACAAGCATGCTATTGGCAAGTTCAAATCAGCTAAGAGGAAGACAGAATGTGGACAAATGGACTGTAAAACACCAGCTTTAATATCCAAGAAGGGGCGCCTGGGTGGCGCAGTCGGTTAAGCGTCCGACTTCAGCCAGGTCACGATCTCGCGGTCTGTGAGTTCGAGCCCCGCGTCAGGCTCTGGGCTGATGGCTCAGAGCCTGGAGCCTGCTTCCGATTCTGTGTCTCCTTCTCTCTCTGCCCCTCCCCCCTTCATGCTCTGTCTCTCTCTGTCTCAAAAATAAATAAACGTAAAAAAAAAAAAAAAAAAATCCAAGAAGCCACTTGAGGAATGTGACTTTAGATATACAACCAAAAAGGATTTCTAATGGTCTATAGCCCACCTTCAGTATTCAGTCTGGATTTGAGGCAACCCACTGATGGGAAAGTTGGGGGTCTGCAGGGAAGATCTACTTCTCTGGGTCTGTCATTTCATACTGGTCTAGAGTTCAGAGGGAAGAGAGGATATGTCTCTAGTCTGTGCTGCTTTTTGATAGTCTTTCCCCTTAATCAAGAAACATGAACCAATGGGAGAAAACTGGGTGTTAATCTAGATGGAAGTCTTTCCATGTGAAAATGTGAGGTGAAAAGGAAGAAAGTTCCCTCTTAACACTGAGTATCAACGGATGGTAGTTAAACACTTTTGTGGTGGCAAGTGCTACTTAGATTCTGTTCTCTAAAAAATTTTTTTTGAGTGTTTTAATTCGCATTCCCCAGAAGCAGACCCTGAGACAAGGATTCAGGTACAATGGTCTGTTTAGGAAGTGCAGCTATCCCTGGTCAGAAAGTCTAGAGGGCAGTATAGAGAAGGGAAGGCAGGAAATGGAAGATGTGCTATTAAGTCGGCTCCCACAGTAAGGGGACTGAGCTTGATCCTGCAGCAATGCAAAGTACAGCACGTGTGGTCCCATCCGAGGGGTGAGGGAGCTGGACTTGCTCAGTCATAGCTCCAGGGCTGCTGGGGGAGGAGTCTGTTAATTCCTCAGGACTTTGCACACTTCTGGCCTGTCTCATGGATGCAGTGGAGGAGAGGAACAGCCCTCAGGCACAGGGCCGAGATGGCGACTGGAAAACTTGAGAAATATGGGAAGGGCACTCACAATGTCTGCCAGAGGACAGAAATGCCATGTTATAAAAATCAAATAGAAAAGTACTCTGAATGAATGTATTTATTCTTCCCCTTGTGAGGGATGGTTTTCCTCTGTGCTTCGAATCAAGGAAATCACAAATGGTTTCTTTATCTCTGTCATGTTTGACAGAATCTGACATTAAGGGAACACCTTATTCTGTATCGAGAGAGCAAAGGAGAACTAGGGAGGGAATTAGGTCCATGTCAGAGGTGACCCAAATATTGTGGCCTCGGTGGGCATGTATTTCAGCTACATCGAACTGTCACTTTGCATCATGACTGAATTTGCTGCCAATACAAGGGGAGGAAAATAGAGGAGTTGAGATTCTGGCTAATAAGTGGGACTAGTTAAGAACACTAAATTACTAGCAAGATGATTGCAGAAACGTTGATGATATGGACTCAAGCATTTCTATCAGGTAGTTGATTTTTACCCTCCTGTGTGTGCTCAGAGGTAATGGACTTACTAATGTGATTTCTCATCCAGGAAGGTGAGCTAGAATGTTGGACTGCAGAGGCACGGAGTTTTGGTGACCCAGTGTAGAATCCTGTGCTTCTCCGCTCACAACACATCTTAGATAGTTTTTAAAATTTCAAATTCTTTGACCTGCAAAGTCATCTCTGTCCTCACAGAGTGGTGTATGTCCTGTTCCTGCTGATTTTCCAATCTATTTCATACTTCTCTTGCTGACATATTTCAGCCACACTGATTACTTTCTGACCACACAACTTGCCTAACTTGGGGCCTTAGCCCAGATATCAATTCTGCATAAAATGCTATTCTTCCTGGTTTTTGAAAACCCAGCTTCTTCTCATCTTTCATGTATCCACTCATGTTATTGAAACTACATGCACGTACACGTGCATGTAAGCATGCACAAATACCTGCCTTTATTCTCTACTATTCTAAATATTTTCTTTATAGCTGTTATCACCATCTAATTTGTTGATACTCTCTCTTACTCCGAATGCCTAGTTCACAATAGGCAGTGAATATTTTTTTCAAATAAATAGATACCATTTGCTTATTGAATATTTACTGTATGCTAGGCCCTGTGATAGGTATGGGAAATAAAAGATAAATTAGACAGGTTCTGGAATGTTTGTAATTGCCTGAAAAATTGTGTATTTTGTATGTATTGGTACTGCATGAATAAGTTATTTAAGGAAAAAACCTGACTTGACACATCAGACCATTTCAAACTCGAAGGGGTCATCAGTATATATAACCTTGTTTCATAAGGAAAAAAATTAGGCCCAGAGAAAATGTTCATTGTTCTATATTATTATAGGCTAGGGAATCTATCTCCCTATTCCCACTTTAGGATTTCTTCTGTGAGATTCTTCATAGAAAATAAACTGCTATAAAAAAAAAAAATTAAAAAAAAAAAAAGAAAATAAACTGCTATATCAAATATATCATCAACTCAGTTTATTTTATGAGGAGACAAAGGATTTAGTTTGATTCTAAGTACATTTGTGTCAAAAAAAAATGGGGGCGCCTGGGTGTCTCAGTCAATTAAGTGGCCGACCTCCGCTCAGGTCTTTTTTTTTTTTTAATTTTTTTTTTTTAACGTTTTTATTTACTTTTGAGACAGAGAGAGACAGAGCATAAAAGGGGGAGGGTCAGAGAGAGAGGGAGACACAGAATCTGAAACAGACTCCAGGCTCCAAACAGTCAGCATAGAGACCGACACAGGGCATGAACTCACATACCGCGAGATCGTGACCTGAGCCGAAGTCGGAGGCTCAACCAACTGAGCCACCCAGGCGCCCCATCAGGTCTTGATCTAATGGTTCGTGAGTTTGAGAACCTCATCAGGCTCTTCACTGACAGTGCTCGCTCTCTCCCCCTCCCCTATTTGTGCATTCTCTCTCTCTCTCTCCCTCAAAATAAATAAGTTTAAAAAGGGGCTGATTGAAAATTAGACTTTCTTTTTTTTTTTTTTTTAATTTTTTTTTCAACGTTTATTTATTTTTGGGACAGAGAGAGACAGAGCATGAACGGGGGAGGAGCAGAGAGAGAGGGAGACACAGAATCGGAAACAGGCTCCAGGCTCTGAGCCATCAGCCCAGAGCCCGACGCGGGGCTCGAACTCATGGACCGCGAGATCGTGACCTGGCTGAAGTCGGACGCTTAACCGACTGCGCCACCCAGGCGCCCCTGAAAATTAGACTTTCTTAAGAAGAAAATCTGTTTTAAGGCTTTTTTTTTTTTTTACAGCTTTTTTGAGCTATAATTGACATATAGCATTGTATAAGTTCAGATGTGTAACGTGATGATTTGAAGCAGTTGTGTATTGTGAAATGCTTACCGCAGTAGAGTTAGTCAAAACCTCCATTACTTCATATAATTACTATTTCTTTCTTGTGAGAACACTTAAGATCTACTTTCTTAGCAACTTTGAAATATATAGTATTGTTAACCATAGTCACTATGTTGTACATGAACAATCCTTGGAATTGTTCACATTATCACTGGAAGTTTGTACCCTTTGACCAAGATCTCCCCATTTTCCTTACTCCCCTACCCTTGGTAACTATTCATTCTACTCTTGGTTTCTTTGAGTTTAGCTTTTATACATGTAAGTGATATCCTACAGTATTTGTCTTTTGCTGTCTGACTTTTCACTTAGCATAATGTCCTCAAAGACCATACATGTTGTCACAAATGGAAGGATTTCTTTTGCTCTCATGGATGAATAATATTCCATTAAATATATATATATAATATATATTATATATATATTATATTTTTTATCCATTCATCCTTTGATAGAAAAATAGGTTGTTTTCATATCTTGGCTAGTGAATAAAACTGCAATAAATGTGGGAGTGCAGATACCTCTTTGATAACCTGTTTTTCTTTCCTTTGGGTATATACCCAGAAGTGGATCATATGGTAGTTAATTTTTAATTTTTTGAGTAATGTTTATATTATTTTCCATAGTAATATACCAATTTACATTCCTACCAACAGTGCAAAAGGGTTCTCTTTCTCCACATCCTGGCCAACATTTTTTGCCTTATCATTTTGATGATAGCTATTCTAACAAGTGTGAGGTGATATCTCATTGTAGTTTTGATTTGCATTTCCCTGATGATCAGTGATGCTGGGCATCTTTTCATGTACCTATTGCTCCTCTGTACGTCTTCTTTGGAAAAATGCCTGTTCAGATCCTCTGCCCATTTTTTTTTTTTTAGTTGGCATGGTTTTTGTTATCAATTTGTATGAGTTCTTTTTATATTTTAGATATTAACCCTTTATCAGATACATGGTTTGCAAATATTTTTTGCCATCTCATAGGTTGCCTTTTCATTTTTGTTGATTGTTTCTTCTGATGTTTAGAAGCATTTTAGTTTTATGTAGGTCCACTTAATTGATTCTTGCTTTTGCTGCTTGTGCTTTTGGTTTCATATCTCCCCCCCCCCAAAAAAAATTAAAAATTGTTGCCAAGACCAATATCAAGGACATTTTACCCTATGTTTTCTTCTACAGGTTCTATGATTTGTAGCTTTATGTTTCAGTCTTTAGTCCATTTCAAGTTAATTTTTTGTGAGTGGTGTACAATAGGCTTATTTTTCTGCTTATGGCTGTCCAGTTTTCCCAACATCATTTGTTGAAGAGATTATCCTTTCCTCAGGGAGTATTCTTTGCTCCTTTGGAAAATATTAGTTGACTGGATATGTGAGAGTTTTTCTGGGCTCATGAGTCTATCCCATTTGTCTATGTGTCTGTTTTTATGCCAGTACTATAGTATGCTGACTACTATAGATTTGTAACTTATTTTTGAAATCAGGAAGTGTGATGCCTCCAGCTTTGTTCTTTCTTAGGATTGCTTTGGCTATTTAAGGTCTTTGGTGGACCATATGAATTTTAGGATTATTTTTTCTATTTCTGTAAAAAATGTCATTGAAATTTTGAAATGGACTGTATTGAATCTATAGATGGCTTTGTTTAGTATGGACACAATATTAATTTTTCTAATCGTGAACATAGGAATATGTTTTCCATTTGTGTCTTTATCAGTTTCTTTCATCAAAGTCTTACAGTCTTCAGTGTAGAGATCTTTGACCTTTTCGTTACATGTATTCCTAAGTATTTTATTTTGTGATGCTTTTGTATGCAGGATTGTTTCCTTTACTGTTTTATTTCTTTTTTTCCAAGTTTTAATTTAAATTATAGTTACTTTTAACATACAATGGGGTATTGGTTTGAAGTGTAGAATTTAGTGATTCAACATTTACAGCACCCTATGCTCATAACAACAATTGTCTTCCTTAATCCCCTGTTTATTTCTTTTTCATATGTTATTACTGTGTAGTGACACAACAATTTCTGTATGTTTGCTTTGTATCCTGAAACTTCACTATATTTATTGCTTAGTGCTAACAGCTTTGTTTGTATGTTTTTAGTTCTAACAGTTTTTTGATGGAGTCTTTAGGATTTCCTTAGGCCATATCATCTGCAAATAAAGACCATGTTACTTCTTCCTTCCTGATTTACTCCTTCCTTCCTTTTATTTATTTTTCTTGCCTGTATGCCCCACCTAGGACTTCCAATACTATATAGAATAGGAATGGTGAGAGTAGGCACCCTTATTTTGTTTCTGATCTTACAGGAAAAGCTTCCAACCTCTCATTATCAAGTCTGAGGTTAGCTATGGCTTTGTTATATATGACCTTTATTATGTTGAGATATGCTCTATCTATACCTAATTCGTTGAGGGTTTTTAGCATGAAAGGATGTTGCATTTTGTCAAATACATTGTACTATTGGGATAGTAATATGATTTTAGAACTTTCATTCAATGTGGTGTATCATAGTCATTGATTTGTGTATGTTGAACTATCCTTGCATCACTGGAATAAATCCCATTTGATCATGGTGTATGAGTCTTTTAATATGCTGTGGAATTCAGTTTGCTAGTATTTTATTGAGGATTTTTGCTTTTAGGTTCATCAGGGATATTGACCTTTAGTTTTCTTCTCTTGTAATGTCCTTATCTGGGATTGGTATCAGGGTAATTCTAACCGCATGAAATGAGTTTTAGAGTGTTTCCTCCTCTTCAGTTTTTGGGAAGAGTTTGAGGATTGAAGTTAATTGTTCTTCTTTTTTAAAAGTTTATTTATTTTGAGAGAGACAGAGACAGTGCAAGTATGGGAGGGGCAGAGAGTAAGAGAGAATCCCAAGGAGGGTCTGCGCTGCAGTACAGAGCTTGACATGAGGCCAGACCTCATGAAACCATGGGATCATGACCTGAGCCAAATACCAAGTCAGACACTTAACCATCTGAGCCACCCAGATACTCTTGAAGTTAATTCTTCTTTAAATGTTTAGTAGATTCACCACTGAAGTCATCTGGTCCTGAGCTTTACTTTTGTTGGAATGTTTTTGATTAGTGATTCAATCTCCTTGCTCATATTGGTCTATCCTGATTTTTCTAATTCCTCATGATTTGGTCTTCGTAGTTTGTATGTTTGTAGGAATTAATCTACTTGTTCCAGGTTATCCAATTTCTTGGTGTATAGCTATTCATAGTAGTCTTATAATTCTTTGTATTTCTGTGGTATCAGTTGTAATATCTCCTCTCTCATTTGTGATTTTGAGTTTAAGTACTCTAAGGTATACAAATTGACAAAGTATTAATATTTTTAAATTAAAGAAACGTGTTAGCAATAAATTATTGGCTATTCTGGTTCCAAAATTGAATGCAGGAACTCTGATTAAAGCAGTTTTCTAGAACACATTTTCTTGGTGTTTCAGGGAGACTCTGGTGGGCCATTAGTATGTCGACATGAAAAAGGTCCCTTTGTCCTGTATGGTATTGTCAGCTGGGGAGCTGGCTGTGCCCAAACAAGGAAACTAGATGTATTTGCCAGGGTGAGTGTCTTCTTGGACTGGATCCAATCCAAAATCAAAGGTAAATATTTTTCAGATATTATGGAAATATTTCCTTTTTCTTTAGAGTGGGTTTGCGAGAAGGATGAGTGTGGTAGAAATCAGTGTGATGAAAGAAAAAAAACCAAAAAGTAGTATTTCATTTATTTTAGTTTCTAAAACATGTAAAATGCACATTAAAATTCTGTGTGAATACATTCTCCTTGGGCAGAGTGATAGTAAAAGTGACTTTTCCTGAGGCAGCTTTAATCCTAGGTTTGCATTTCTCTTTTGACAGAAGCTATTTTACCATAGGTATATTTTGTTTCCAGGCTTTCATATTTATTTCTTTTTAACATGTTCTCTCCAGGTACAGGTCCTGCTTCACTTCGGACAAATAATGAAAGAAAAACCTTAACAAGACAACAGTTGCCACCACCCACACCTTCAATAGACAATGAGTCTGGACCAGGTAATAGATGTTTATCTTAGCCTATTATGTAGCTAGTAAGAATTTCGCAAAAAATATTGCATGTCTGGGTTTACTAATTTTCTTTGGAACAGGATAAGCCCTGTGTTTTCATTCTGGATGGTAGTTTAAGCTGAATGAGAGGCGTGTTGTTACTATGACCGTCTGGGTTTCTTCTCTACCCCACAGATAACAGCTGTTGCAGGTTAAAAAAAAGATCTTGTGGCTGTGAACGAGTGCTTGAATTTTGGAGACATGCAAAGAAGTATTCTGACCTCTGATCTGTTTATTTCTACAAAAACAAAGGTCCTTAGATTTTCAGGTATCTTGCTAGGTGAAGACTCTGGATATGAGATAACCACAGCCAGCATCAGTGTCAGTCACTCTTAATTTTCCCACAGTTGTCAGTGTCTGTTTGCTAATGGGATTTATATTTTTAGTTAAAATCAAACTGCAGCTGGAGAATTAGGAGTCTGTAATAGAGTTGTAGGGAGATGAAAGTTCTATGAAACCATCATCCTTGGTTTCCAGGTGGTCACAGTCTCTTCTTTCTCACCCATCTCTGCCTCCATCCACCCAACATGGAGTCAACCCCAGTAGAGAACTAGGAAGAGGTGGAGAAGACTGAAAAGGATACAAGAGAGGGAGGGATAGCTGGAGTGATGACCTTCAGGAGGAGAAAGGAGATGAGATCTGGTGCTCAGCAGGGGAGGTTGGCCTCAGGAGTAAAGTGTAGTTCACCCATAGCTGCTGAATGGAAGGCAGAATACTCATTCTGGTGTGTGGGTACACGTGGCAGGACAGGAGCTTCTGGCAGTTTTCTAATTGCTTCTATGTTCTTAGAAGACAAAACAGGGTTATGGAAGATGGTTTGAGGGGTTTTCAGGGGAAAAAAGGGGAAGTATGAAAATAGTTCTCCAAAAAAGTGACAAAGTACATGGACTAGGAGAATGTAGTAGGATTGCTAGGAAACATAAAAGCTTCTGAGATTAACAATCATGAATTTAGGGGAAACTGGCCAGTTAGCTCAATTGTATGTTTTTTTCCAGAGACACAGAGGGTTAGCACATAGGTGCAGAACAAGTAGAGAGTAGACTCAATTCAGAGCGGATTTTCCCAAGTGTATAAGTGGGTATGCAAGTGTATAAGGGAATTGAACGCATGTAGGAGGAAGGGATTAAAATGATATATTGTTGGAATTTATACTAGGAAAAGAGTGAATGAGGGTGAGAGATGAAATAGGGACAAAGAAAAGGTGGTTGGGTAGATGAATTGCAAGTCTCAAAAGATGGAAGGTGTGCTGGAAGTTGCTGAGAAGATAGAAGGTTGTGGATGGAGAAAGCAGTGCTTGAAATCGAAATTAGAGAAGGCTTGGAATTATTGCTGGGGACTGGGTCTCTAGGGGCTGGCCACTGGGGTGTACAGCTGAGGTTGGGTGGAGAACAAGATCATTGGAAGAAGTTGAAAAATTGAGAAGCTTCAGTGCTCGACTCATCATCAGTATGGCTAGTGAACTCAGCAAGATTTATGGCAGGAATAGCAGTGGAGAAAATGACTGCTAAAATCTTCTAGGAGTAAGGCGGAGTAACCAGCTGTGGGTGGTACAGTCTGACAAGATGAGGATCAGAGTCCTATGTAGATTAAAAGTCAATCTGGAATTGGGGTTGAGATGGAGAGCAGACTTAGGTCCAAGATCCTAAAACCTAATGATTTCGATGGTTTGAGTTAAATGAACAGTGTTAATCAGTGCCTAAGTGAACACATGTCAAGCACTTAGAACAGAGATGGCATGACGAATTTTAACAGTCAACAAATGGTGGCCATAGTGACCAACCAATGTATTTGTTGAACTGTTCCACATAGGCTATTAGAAAGTGAACATTGTTGGGGCGCTTGGCCGGCTTCGTTGGTAGAGCACACAACTCTTGATCTCAGTGCTATGAGCTTGAGCCCCACAATGGATGTAGAGATTACTTAAAATCTTAAAAAAACCAATATGTTAAAATGTAGCAAAGATGTTTCCCATTTGTAGATATTCAGAAATACATATGCATGTTATTGGAAGTTTTACATATGGCAAATTATTGTTTTGTTTTAATTCTGTGAGTATTCTATGAGACAAATGTTTGGACTATCCTATCTTTAACATCACCCACTCCCACCACTTGCTTTTTACACAAGGGAGTTGTTAGCCCATTTATAAAAAGAAGTGACTGATTGGGAATTCATGACATTATATGATTTGATTCCTTTTCCAGGCATATTTGTCATAGAGGATTCATGGGGACAAGAAAAATGATTGAAAGACATGTTGGGGCCAGACTCTGAAAGACAGTGCAAGCTGTAAAATTTTAGTTGCTTTGAGAAAGGAAAGAACTTAATTCTTTTGTTTCATACACTATCTTGGATTTGAGGGCATGATGGGGAAAAGATTAGAGACCAGGAAATCAGTTAGGTTACTCTTAAATCAGACTAGATCTATAAATATCTAAATTATATCATAGTAGCCATATAAATGAAAAGGAAATTTGCAAAGAAATAACAGAGGACTAGGCAATTGACTAGAATCTTGAATTCTTGTAGCATTTCATTTCCCTTCTTGAATTTCTGTCATTCTTCATTTCTACTATTCATAAAAGTATATTTGTGTATATCACCTCAGTTAGGTTAATTTCTCTAGGGAAAAGCATATATAATAATGCATGTACTAATTAATATTCATACATTAAAATGTGTTTATTTGAATACAGAGTTTTTCAGTTTGTAGTTGCTCAGAGGATTTTTGTCAAGGGAATAGACAAAGGGGAAAAAGGAAAAGTCAAGGGTGTAACCTGAAGAAGCAGCAGCCGATTGCAGCATCAGGGGGCCAAGTGTATCTCTGGAGATCCAAAGGTGCCCTTCGACTTCAGAGCAAATTGAAGAAGTGAGAGACATTCAAATGTAGTCAGCTAATCCTCTTTTTTTTTTTTTTTTAATCTCAGTCACAAATTCTATGCATGTAATCATTTGTCCTAGCAAGATTAATGCCTAGTGAGGGGATGCCTGGATGGCTCAGTTGGTTAAGTGGCCAACTTCATCTCAGGTCATGATCTCACAGTTAATGAGTTTGAGTCCTGCGTTGGGTTCTGAGTTTGGAGCCTGCTTCGGATTCAGTGTCTCCCTCTCTCTCTGCCCCTCCCCTGCTCACATTCTCTATCTGTCTCTCTCTCTCAAATAAACATTTAAAAATGTAAAAAAGAAGAGATTAATGCTCAGTGAAATTAGTGAAGCTTTAGGAACAGACCTTCAGTTGCATCTCAAAGAAAAAAAGAAATGAAAACTTGGTAGAAGTAGAGTGCATATCCATTGTGCATCTTCTAAGGCATTTAAAAGATTCAGTGAAAAAAAATTTTTGAATAGTAATGATTTGAATTCTACTCCTACAATCTCATTTCAAGAAAATAGAACACATTAAATGGGATGATAATTTTTATCCAAGGACATGTAATAGAGTAATAAAGTTTTAATTTTCTTCTTGCAAGCCTACATTTTTTGTTTGTGATAAAACCTCACTTTGCTTTGTTTATGTTGGTCCCTGGTGTCTGTGTGCTCTGAATTGTAGGTTGTTACTCTGAAGTGGAGCTAGAAGAGCCCAGAGGCTTTTTTTCAACTCCAAGATATCCACTGGATTATAGAGGAAAACTGGAATGTTCCTGGGTGCTCAGAATTTCACCTAGCAGTATGGCAAAAATGACGGTTGAATATCTGTCACTCCCTGGGTCTCCAATATGTCCAGATTCAGTTATGACTATTTATGAAGAAAGCCACAGTAAGAGAAGGGTGTCAGGTAATCCTTACTAGCATTTAAACTTTGTGCTGGAGCCTTTTCTATATAGGCAGCTTACAATCAAGATACCAAGCTTGGCTTGGGTAACAATACCACCAAAATGTTGATGATATTTGTAATAGGCATGCCTTTTTTTTCAGGCACACTTAATATTATTCATATTGTTATAAAGTCAAAACTTGACTTCACAAAACAGGTGTACTAGGGGTTGAGTGTGAGTATGTGGCTGTGTGTGCATTCAACAAGAAAAAAAATAAGAGCTCAACTTCTTCAAATATACCAGAACCATGCAAGAATTCCAGAAATGTATATGATAGAGGAAGAGTTAAGATGGTTAAAAATCAGATGGGGTAGGTGTTAGATGTCAAAATAAAGCAAAATATATTAAAGCCCTTTCTTTATTTTTAATGTTGATTTATTTATTTTGAGAGAGAGAACATGAGGGGGAGGAGGAGCAGAGTGAGAGACAGAGAGAGAGAGAGAGAGAGAGAGAGAGAGAGAGAGAGAGAGAACGAGAACACACCTTAAGCAGACTCCGCGCTCAGCACAGAGCCCAACATGGGGCTCGATCCCACAAACTGTAAGATCATGACCTGACCCAGAATCAAGATTTGGACTCCCAACCAACTGAGCCACCCAGATGCCCCTAATCTGGCAGAATTAAAAATATTTGCTAATAACACACCAGCTGTCATTGCATTTCATGTATAGGCAAACCTGTTTTGCTCAACAGAACAAAGTTGCTACCTTTTGTTTGTGTAGGTGTGGTAGGCTCTTTGGCTCTTAGTCAAGAGGGAGACAGGAAGGTGCTGGAAGTAATTTGGTTGATGGGGAAGACTGGGAAGAAAATAAGTGTATGCTGTTGTGAGTAGGTATGGTACTCACACATGCCTGCACTGGATGCAGGAGTATGGGGAGGCCAAGAAAACTGCTCTGAGCGTGAGACTGTGTTCTTGAGATAGACTCCTAGATTAAATCATTGATGTAGAGGGCACAAACATTTATTAAGGAATCTTTATAAATACTATCTCATTTAGACTGTGGAAAAAGCTATTAACTGGCCTATCCACTTTGTACATTTCTCTCCTGTGATCAGATTGCCTTCCCCATCTGCCTTGATTAAAACAGCTCAAGGTTGGGGTGCCTGGGTGGCTCAGTAGGTTAATCCTCTGACTTTTGATTTTGGCTCAGGTCATGATGTCATGGTTTGTGAGTTTGAGCCCTGCATCAGGCTCTGCACTGTCGGGGTGGAGCCTGCTTGGGATATTCTCTCTCTCCCTCTCTGTCTTTGTCTCTTTTGCTCAAAATAAATAAATAAACTTAAAAAAAATAAGCTTAAAAAAAAAGGCTCAAGGTCTCCTTGTAGCTAGGATGAAATCCAAAATCCCTACCATAGCCTTACCTCCTGCTCCCCAACTTACATGATGAAGTACGCCCATTCTCGCCCCAGGGCCCTTGACCAGCTACTTCTCCTAGCAGTTTAGAGAACTCCTCATCCTGTGTCTCCCCTCAAGTCTTGACTAGAATGTCACCTTCTTAATGAGTCCTCCCTTAATTGCTGTCAATTGCATCACCTCCTACCCCAGTACCTCTTAGTACCCTCCTCAACTCTTCTTTTTTTTTTTATTTATTTTTTTTTAATTTTTTTTTCAACGTTTTTTATTTTTTATTTTTGGGACAGAGAGAGACAGAGCATGAACGGGGGAGGGGCAGAGAGAGAGGGAGACACAGAATCGGAAACAGGCTCCAGGCTCCGAGCCATCAGCCCAGAGCCTGACGCGGGGCTCGAACTCCCGGACCGCGAGATCGTGACCTGGCTGAAGCCGGACGCTTAACCGACTGCGCCACCCAGGCGCCCCCCTCCTCAACTCTTCTTAAGCATTTACTGTCTTCTAACTATGATTTATTTTTCATGTTTGTGGTTCGTGTTTTCTCTATTGAATGAGGGCTTTCTGAAGACTAAAACTTTTGTCTCACTTGAAGAATCTCCAGTGCCTCGAATAGTATGTGAGATAGAAGGCAGGGAATGAATGAGTGAAGGAATGGATGATATGTCACCTCCTCAAAGAGGACTTCTCATCTAGAGTAGCACCATTCACTCCCGTCCATAGTCCTTTTCCATAGTTCTATTATGCCGATTATTTCATTTGTAGCCGTGATCTCTGAAATCCTCTTCTTTATTTACTGGCTAAAATAAAAGCTCCAGGAAAACAAAGATCTTGCTATTTTGTCCCTTTCTGTATCATCCTAAATTAGTGTCATGCCTCCAGACTCAGCACAAGTGTATACTGCTAAATTGCTCTTCAGAAAGGCTAAATCAGTGTTCACTGCCTTTAGCAATACATGGGAGTATCTTTCACCATGCATATGTATAACTCATGTGATAATTTAGTAGGCATTTTTACCATTTTCTTATCATTAATGGAGTTTTATTTTCATATGTTGGTTATTTGCGTTTTTTACTTATTACCATCTATTTTTGAGGATTATTCTTTTTATTGGTTTATGAACACTATTATACATAGAGACATTTTTCCTTTTGTCGTAAGTTACAAGTACTTATTCCTAAGATTGCCATTTGTCTTTAATTTTTATTCTATGTTGATGGAAACATTTAAAAATTTATTTGTGTCGGGGCGCCTGGGTGGCGCAGTCGGTTAAGCGTCCGACTTCAGCCGGGTCACGATCTCGCTGTCCGTGAGTTCGAGCCCCGCGTCAGGCTCTGGGCTGATGGCTTGGAGCCTGTTTCCGATTCTGTGTCTCCCTCTTACTCTGCCCCTCCCCCGTTCATGCTCTGTCTCTCTCTGTCCCAAAAATAAATAAAAAAAAAAAAAAACATTGAAAAAAAAATTAAAAAAAAAAATTTATTTGTGTATGTGGGCGCTTGGGTGTCTCAGTTGAACGTCCGACTTTGGCTCAGGTCATGATCTCATAGCTCATGACTTTGAGCCCTGCATCAGGCTCTGTGCTGACACCTTAGAGCCTGGAGCCTGCTTTGGATTCTGTGTCTCCCTCTGTCTCTGACCCTCCCCTTCTCTCTCTCTCTCTCCCTCTCTCTCTCAAAATAAATAAACATAAAAAAATTTTAAAGTTTATTTGTTTAAATCCATCTGTATATACCTTTGATCTTTGATTTACCACATAGCTTTTATTTATTTATTTATTTATTTATTTATTTATTTATTTATAAATGTTTATTTATTTATTTTGGGAGAGAGGGAGAGTGTGTGCACAAGTGGGGGAGGGGCAGAGAATGAGGGAGATAGAGAATCCCAAGCAGTCTCCACACTCCGCACTGAGCCGGACATGGGACTCCAATTCACGAACCGTGAGATCATGACTTGAGCAGAAATCAAGAGTGGGATGCTTAACTGACTTAGCCACCCAGGCACCCCTCTTTTTTTTTTTTTTTAAGTATCTCCATGCCTAGTGTGGAGCCCAACGTGGTGCTTGAACTCATGACCCTGAGATCAAGACCTGAGCTAAGTGTCAGACACTTAACCAACTAATCCATCCAGGCACCCCTCAGAGCTTTTATTTTTGAACATTCATTGTTCATTCTGAGTTCAGAAAAAAAAATTTAATTACAAACTTCTTTAATCCTCCTGAAATGGGTATTTTTCTCATATGATAAAGTGATACTATATCTTTTTCTTTAAGAAAAAGTTATTTTGTCTCCAACTTGTAGCAATCTCTTATACACTGGATTCTTATATAAAAAGAAACATTTTCTGGGAAAACTTACCTTTATCTTTATAACCTATTGAAAACCATGCTTGTCTTTGTTGTGGATTAACTGAGGAAACCCTATAATTTTCCTACCTAGCAGTTCTTTGATATGAAATTGTCAGTTTGAAGTTTGTAGAGTAGTTCTGTCTCTTTGGGTGATAGCTGGCAGGTATTACCCCTTATTCAAACCAGATAGTATTCTTCTGTACTGTAAAATGCTATCTTTTTCCCTGTGGGAGCCAGAGCTGCATTGATCTCTACTTGCTACAAATAAGTATTTGATCATTCTTCAAATAGTATTTCAACATCGTTTACCCTAACCTGTTATGCCATCTAATGTTTTCTGTTCTTTGCTTCTTCTCGGATATAATCTCTTCCCTCTCTTGCTCCACAAATACTTGTGAAGAGAGTCTAGCAAGGACCAGAGACCGACTTTTCTTGGTAGTGAGGTTCAGTAGTGAGAAATATGGACAAAAAGCAAAACAAAACAAAAATCCCTGCCCTTATCAAACTTATATTCTAATGGGGAGTAGACACATAATAATAAAATAAAATATGTATTAAGTAGACAAGCTAGGGGGAAAATGAAATGGAAAGAAAGAGAAGAATCTGGGATGTTGGTACCATACAGTTGTCTGTAGTGTACCCAGAAAATGTCTGTCTGACTTTTAAACAAGCATGATAGAATGATACTGACCTATTCTTTTTTTTTTAATTTTTTTTCAACGTTTTTTATTTTATTTTTTGGGACAGAGAGAGACAGAGCATGAACGGGGGAGGGGCAGAGAGAGAGGGAGACACAGAATTGGAAACAGGCCACAGGCTCCGAGCCATCAGCCCAGAGCCCGACGCGGGGCTCGAACTCCCGGACCGCGAGATCGTGACCTGGCTGAAGTCGGACGCCCAACCGACTGCGCCACCCAGGCGCCCCTGACCTATTCTTAATATAGATGAGTTTGATCCTGAGAAACCCAGGTTCTTTTCACACTGTTTTAAAATGTTTATTTTTTTGTTACAGAGACAGAGACACAGAGAGAGAGCAAGAGGGGCAGGGGCAGAGAGAGAGAAAACAGGCTCTGAAGCAGGCTCCATGTGCTGACTGCAAAGAGCCCAATGCCAGGCTTGAACTCACAAACCATGAGATCATGACCTGAGCTGAAGTTGGATGCTTCACCAACTGAGCCACCCACATGTCCCCACACCTTCCTTAATCAGCCCTCTGAATTGTTCTGGAATTATAATTTTCCCTTACATCTTAGACTCAGGTTCTCAAACTAAAGCCATCAAAAGAAGATTAACTATAGAGAAAGAATACATTTTCAGGTAGAAAGTTTTCCATCATGGATCTCTGATAGTGAGATATTTTTATAAGCAGATTACTTTGCTAGAAGAAACATGGCATATCAGTGTCATTTTAAAGATGAAGTAATTTACTCCCTACTGTCCTTTAAGGGAGCAGTATGACCTAGCAGACTATGTTGGATACTGGATTGATGGTCCTGGGTTTAGATCCTGACTCCCCACCATACCAGTCTGACTCTGGGTGAGTCACTTGAGTTCTGGAGCCCTGTTTGCTCATTTTGTTGAGTGGAATAAATTCCTACTTCATTGATAACTAGTAGATAAGTCCTGGGGATCCAATGCATAGTATAGTGAATATAGTCAATATTTGTAGTATAATCATCAAACTTGCTGAGGGACTAGATCTTAATTATTTTCACTACAAAAAATAAATGGTAATTATGAGAGGTGATAGAGACTATCACTATAATGGCAGACATATTACAATATATAAATGTATCAAATCAGCATGTTGTACACTCTAAATTTACACAATGTTAACATGTCAAATATTTCATGAATAAATCCTCTATTTCTCTTAAAATAGAGAAACTGCTAAAAATTTTATTTCTTGTGTTTTACTAGATTTTATTTTTTTTTTTAACTAGGTGAATTATGTGGAAGAGGGCTTTACCCGATGATTTTCATGAGCTCTGGACCACTGGTGAGGGTGACATTTCGTTCCCTTGTGCAAGGTGCTTTGGGCATAAGTTATATTGTCTTTAGAGTCCAAGGTAGGCTTGGTCATTTTATAAACTTAAAAAGTTAAAAATCAGTGTTTTTTTTTTTTTTAGGAATATTTCAAAGCATATATTGTTTCATAAGAGATGGTGTTTCTGTGGGGAGTTTGTGTTTGAAAGAAAAATCTCTTTAAGTCATCTGAGATTGGTGCAGATTCAAAAGAGAAACTGCTCAGAGGATAACTTCATTGACTTGTAAATCATCCAGAATTATGATTTCTGGATGTGGCTAAGATACATTCATTTCAAGACAACATTTTTTACTGTGATGTGATTTTATGCCACAGAGGGCCTTTTCTGTGGATCAGAAGGTTAGGGTTCTAACTCTTAGTTGGTTGATTATCTATGGATAATTTATTATCTCTGTATCAGTTTTCTTTATAGTAATATAATAAAAGGTCAGAATGAGTTTCTAAGGTAAACTACACAAACATGAAATGCTAGCAATATAAATGTAAATGCTATGCAATTCAGAGTTATTAGATTGCATTTTAGAACAAGTAATTAATAAAGCTTTTTGACTCTTGATAACTATAGGTGACTGAAAGCTATTGGCACCAAAAAGTATTGCACCTTTTCTCATTGGCACCAAAAAGTATTGCAGAGGTAGATTTGGGGGGAAAGTTCAATAAGGAATAAAGAAGAGTGTACATATCATGTGAAAGAGTTTTCCTAAAAAACTTTATTAAGAATGTTGCTTTTGGGGTGCCTGGGTGGCTCAGTAGGTTGAGCATCCGACTTCAGCTCAGGGCATGATCTCACATTTCATGAGTTTGAGCCCTGCGTTGGACAGTGTGCTGACAGCTTAGAGCCTGGAGCCTGCTTCAGATCCTGTGTCTGCTCTCTCTCTGCCCCTCCCCCGCTCATGCGCGCGCGCGCGCTCTCTCTCTCTCTCTCTCTCTCTCTCTCTCTTTCTCAGTAAATAAGTAAATAAACATTAAAGAAAAATAATGTTGCTTTTAGTTGGAACTGTGCAGAGAGCTAGCATTATTTATAGTTTTTCCACATTATCTTTCATTGACATAAGTCTACCCCAAGGATAATTTCAAGAAAAGTGCTGCTCTCTGATGGAGACTTTTCAGTGAGGCTAACCACTTCCTGTTAACTTTTTTCTAAAACTGAGAGAAAAAGTGACTGATCTGAAATGGCATATAATAAGCCTCTCAAAAATTAATTTTATTTTCATTGCCTTTTTAAAAATATTTAGGTCCAAAGGGCAGTAAAACTCCCAAACTTCTCCAAAGTTCAAACCAAGAACATGTGGCCGCTTATGAGGATGTTATTCTGACTGAACCAGGAGGAATCATACAGATCCCAAGATACTCTCACAGAACCACTATGAGGTTAGGAAGGGATGCTTATTATGTTGAAGGAATGACCACTTGACAAACTGCAACACTTGCTTAATCATATTTGCCACCTCCTCTCCTTGAAGAATAGCCTTTGAAGTAATCCCTGCTCTAAGGCCTTCAGCATATAAAAACTGAACATAAGATTATCCCTATACAAAAACTGAGTGTAAGATTATCCCTGTTGATAAATTGTGCACTTTCTCAAAAGAAGGGATCGTTTATTAGGTAAAGTGGAAAGTCACATCTCTGTCAAAGAGTTTGGGAGATTGAAATAATGTACATAAAATCTTCTAGAACATATTAGGTACTCAATAAATGATTCTTAAATTGCCAAAATAGAGAACTTTCCTTGAATTAAACAAGAGAATAAATTTAAAGTGTGATGTGAGGGGTGAAGATTGGTATAATATCAATCCTAAGTAAATTTATGTGATTTAGGGGAGTTTGGGGCAAATTCAGGCAAAAGTAGATCCTTAACTCACAGATTGCCAATTAGAATTTAGAGGAGTACATGTGATTGACCAACCATTTGCCATGATGGGTGAACTTAACGTTTTTGATAAATTAGATATTAGAAATATTTTTTAATTGTTACAGTTTAAAGTAAAAATCTTTCTTTCACCCACGCACAAAGATTGAGTCAGTAACAATGATACATAAAATTCTGAACAAAGTAAATAACAGTATGTGCCATTTGGAAATCATTGCTGACTTTATTTTATCAAAGTAAATAACAGTATGTTTCATTTGGAAATCATTCCTGACTTTCTTTTATCTGTGCCACAGTTGCCACTGGAAGTTATTAGCCCCTTTAGATCACATCATTCGCCTTGATATTATCAACTTCCAGACGAAGTCGACACCCTTGGCCTGTCAGGGTCATATATGGGTTTATGAAGGATTTGGATCAGGCAAAAAATTAATAGGTAACTAATGTCCCATGAAGAACTGGGTTCTTGATTTTTTATGAAATATTCTCATATTGTTTTGTATTCAGTGTGACTTACAGATGATGTTAATTATGTAGTATTGAAATAGCCTTAGTATTTTTTAGATTTGTAATTGAGATTAAACTAACGCTCAGATGGAGTTAAAAACAAAACCCAACTATATGCTGCTTACCTGGGTCATACCTAGATTAAATTTGCCCAGAAGCACTGAAAATAAGGGATGGATAGATAAAGGAGTTTTAGGCAATTGAAACACAAGAAAATTAAGACTGTAATATTAATCAGGCAAACTAATTTCCACCAGAAAAGGCATTAAGTGGGTTTATCAATTAGATAGTAGCTGGAAACCTCATTACAGTGACTTAAATTTATTTTTCTGAAAGAAATATCCAGAGTTTTGTAGATGTACTGCTAATTCAGCAGTTCAACTCTGTCAAGACTAAGGTTAGGGCAGTTCTCTTGGCCATTCCCTAATGGTCCCATAATGGCTATTTCAGTTCTCACCATTACATAGAGAAAAAAGAAAGGGACACAGAGGAGTGTCACCATTGAGAAAACAAACACATTTCCAAGAACCCTGTGGCAGATTTAAGCCTCTCTGGCCAGATTTGTCACATAGCCACACCCAGCTGAGAGATGACTAGAGACAAGGGGAATAAAATGGGACTTCAATTGGCTGACCAGCCTTCCCCTATGTGATGTGATGTAGCAGTCCAGATGGAAATCTGATAGTGCTGTATCCAGGTCTCACTTCTACCTCATAGTAAATGATTTGGGGGGCGTTCCCAAAGCTTTCTCAGACTCTGTTTCTTGAATTGTGACAAGAGAATAATAATAACTGCCTTGGCTCTTCGGTAATTTACAATTTACCCCCCACTGTCACTACCACCGATTTACTTAGGCATACCTATGCCTGATGAAACCAGCTGACTGCTGACAGGAAGAGGAGGTGTGGCATGTTGCTGGCCTTTGACTCCCTAAGAAAGGCCCAGATGCCAGTGTTCCTCTCTCCCTAGGTAGGATCTTGCCAGAATTGATAAAACAGCCAATTGCTAATACACTGTCCTTTTATTCTTTGAACTTATGTTACCATCCCAGAAGTAGGTGCATTCAAAATCTTTGTATTTCTACTTGAGGAAATGTTAATAAACACTGATAGTTCCTGGTTCCTGAGCCCATTTAGCACCAACAAGGCCACAGCTTATTACGGGGAGAATGCCGAATCTGTGCCCTGGATCCTTGGAAATTATCTACACTTCTTTCTTTCCTGCCTTATAAGATGTTTTACTTGTACTGCCAATGAGATTGTTTTGGGAATTAAATGGAAGAATGCATGTTAATCAATATAAAAGAGAGCAAGCTTCTGCTGTCTTTGAATTACAAACATACGTTTTCATTCTTACTCTTAAAATTGTGTTGCTTAGAAGAAAAGATTAGATTGATGTTTCACTAATGCCTCTCCATGAATGCATTGTCAGAGTACACAAAGTTTGGAAGAACAAAGAAATAAAAAAGAGGGAAGAGTATATTAGCTATGTCAGTTATAATTCAGAATGTTAATGGAACTATATACCTGTTTATCTTAGAATAAGTTCATAAAATATATGTACTATTTCCTACTTCCTAAAATTTCAATTTTTGCAAATTAAATATACAAGTTCTGGGGGTTAACTCAGTGCTTAAGGTCAGTAGGTTATTCACTATTAAACATAGCCAAATATGATTTATCTTAAGAATGCAAGGATAGTTTAATATTGAAAAATGTATTATGTAGAACTATGTCACATAAGGAAAAATAGATATAAATTAAACATAACAGCGATTATACCCTTAAAACCATACCAGTAAAATTAATAGAAGATAGAATGGAAAAATCATTATAATTAGCAACGAAAAACTATAAGAATATCTGTTAAAGAAAATTCAACCGAATAAATGTGAAGACTTAGTTGTCTTTATTAAGGGACTCCTGCCTTGGGCAGCATTCCATCTGGTAAGTAGAGAGATACTCTGAGGAGCTATACAAAATGGAAGGGCTTTATAGACAAAAAAAAGAGCAAGACAGTTAGCAAAAGAAAAGAGACTCTTATACAGATTACTTCCTCTTCCTTTGGGGAATGGAGAGGGCCCATATGACACATTACTTCATTGGTGCTAACCAGAATATTCCTGACTGACTGGTTAAGACTGCATTTTCTGGGAGAGGTTGAACTGCAGTTGGGTTAGGTATTAAGCCCCAGTTTAGTGACATGGCCTCACATAAATGATTCCATTTTGGGCTTGTTGATTTCTTTTTTGACATAACCCTAAAATTAACTGTGAGATTTATTGTGCAAATATAAAACTTTACACACATACACACAAACATACAGATAGGAATGGAGAAATGTACCATGTTCTAAACCTGGAAGACAGAATTAACATTAATTCACACTAAATTAATATATAAATATAGTATATTTCCCAGAAAAATCCCATAGGAATTTTTTTTTCAGAGAGTGAGGAAGAAACTGATAATAACTATTTATCTGTACAATAAATAGGACTATCTGAAAATGTTTTGAGAGACTGTCTTGATTAAATTTCAAGTTAAAACCAGAGTCCCCAAAGGTTTTGATTTTTTTTTGTGATGAGGCACATTATCAGATATTAAAACATACTTTAAAACAATGATAATGAAAACAGACTAGTACATACACACAGAAACACACATGAGTAGAAATAAATAGACCAAAAGGGAACGTATAAGAAATTTGGCTTTACAAATCAGAGAGGAAAATATAAATTATATTTTTCATAATTTTGTACAAGAGCTGATTGAAAAGAGTTAAGCATTTTTCTTAAGCCATACAAAGTAGAAAAAATGGGTAAATATTTATTGATGGAGAAGGACCTTCTCATATAAAAGCAATGGAAGAAACAGGAAATTGTCAATAAATTCCTATAAAATTAAAAACCTCTACCCCAATAGGAACAAAATTTAAAACAACAAACTTGAGATTTTCAACAGCTCTGAAAAAAGTTTAAGGTAAATAACGTAGGGAATTTTAACAAATCAGCATTAAAATTTTTCAAATCTGTAAAAATAAATGTATAGGCTCCAATATCTTTGGATCACTCAGCTGTGATTAAATTTCAAGTTAAAACCAGAATCTCCAAAGCTTTGATTTTTATTCTGCTCATTTTACAAGAAATGACAAACTATGGATCCACATGATCTTGAGAGCATAAAGCCCTGATTAACCATTAGCCTCTTTTCACAGATAAGAAAGGTTAGTGAATATTCTCATATCAGTTACTATGCAATCTGAAGTAAATCTCTTACTTTGTTTCTTGACACAATGAAGTTGATTCTATGGCCATCTGTTTACTAAAAAGGGCAGAGTTTCTCTGTTATAGTGAAAAGCTTAATTCTTAGAATTGTTGACTTGAAACTTTGATACTATTGAGTGTTTAGAGCAAACTACCTTTGTTAGAATGTTTCAGAAAATACTACATATGATCACTTAGAAATGGTTTGTCATGGGAAGCATGCTAATTGCTACATCTTGCCTCTTACTCATTTAGCTATGCTATAGATATAGTTCCCTAGATATAGATATATAGTTCCCTGAGGACTTAGCTAGACCACGTCATCTTCTTTTATAATACATCACTTTAGTTTTTTTTTTATTACTTATAGTATTATTTCCACCTGGTTTATTTTTTTTTCTTTTTTTTTATTTATATATGAAATTTATTGTCAAATTGGTTTCCATACAATACCCAGTGCTCATCCCAAAAGGTGCCCTCCTCAATACCCATCACCCACCCTCTCCTCCCTCCCACCCCCCATCAACCCTTAGTTTGTTCTCAGTTCTCAACAGTCTCTTATACTTTGGCTCTCTCCCACTCCAACCTCTTTTTTTTTTTTTCCTTCCCCTCCCCCATGGGTTCCTGTTACGTTTCTCAGGATCCACATAAGAGTGAAACCATATGGTATCTGTCTTTCTCTGTATGGCTTATTTCACTTAGCATCACACTCTCCAGTTCCATCCACGTTGCTACAAAAGGCCATATTTCATTTTTTCTCATTGCCACGTAGTATTCCATAGTGTATATAAACCACAATTTCTTTATCCATTCATCAGTTGATGGACATTTAGGCTCTTTCCATAATTTGGCTATTGTTGAGAGTGCTGCTATGAACACTTTAAAGAGATCTACCTAGTGGCACCTGGCTGGCTCAGTCAATGGAGCATGCAACTCTTGATCACGGGGTTGTGAGTTCGAGCCTCACATTAGGTGTAGAGATTACTTAAAAATTAAAAAAAAAACAAACAAACAAAACCCACAAACTTAAAAAAAAAAAAAAAAAAGAGAGATCTATCTAGGTTATTTCCAGACATTGTAAGAACTGAGTCCTGTGTTTTGTTTGGTTTAGGACCCCTTCCTTAGAACTGCTTAGATTCCAGGAATCTGGAACATCTTTCTTTCTATTCTAACTGGGTTTTATTCTGCTTAATTTTCTCATTTTTATATTCTTGGGAGTGCATACGGTATAAATTTGTAATTTCAAAAACAGGGTTGTTTTTCTCCTACTTTGTTCAATAACCTTTGCTTTGATGAATAGTAAGTTTTTGTATGCTTCTTTGTTTTTTTCTTTATTTTGGGCCAGGAAAATTATGTGCAGGAAATTCACCTTCATTAAAATCTCGTGGTCCTCTAATGATGTTGATTTTCACATACAATGTCAGTTTGGGGTTGGAAGAATTTTCTTTGAGATATTCTTTTCATATTCCTGGTAAGTCTATTGCTTTCATATATGTTTATGAATATATTTTTGTTTGTTTTGTGCTTTATTAGGAAAAATCTGTCATTAAATAGATTGAATTCTCTATTACTCAGCTTTAAGGGAGAAGAAAAGACAGTGTTTAAAGTATGACTTCTGCAATTTGTGGAGGCCTCCAGCTAAACCTCTATAAAGTATAATATCAATCAGATT